AAAAATAAAAATAATAAAAAAGCGAAACGAATTTTTTTTTAAATTGAAAATTCAAAATATGGAAAAATCAAAATTTCGAAAATTCAAACTTTGAAAAACTGAGAAATCGAAAAATCCAGAAATAGAAAAATTCCCAAAATTGAACTGTTGAAAAGTTGAGAAATCGAAAATTTTGAAACATTGACAAACCGAAAAGTCGAGAAATGGAAAATTCAAAAATAGAAAATTGAAACATCGGAAATTGTAAAATTTCGAATGTCGAAATAAATATTTATTGAAAAATCGGAAAACTGAAAAATCGAATTGAAAAACTGAAGAATCGATAAATCAAAAAGTGAACAAATTGAAAATTCGACAATCGAGAGGCCGGAAAACCGAAAATGGAGATTTCGAAAATTGAAAATTTGAAACACTGAAAAATAGAAAATTTGAAAAATCCAGAAATACAGTGCTGAAAAGTCGAGAAATCGAAAATTTTTAAACATTGAAAGTTGAAAAACCGAGAAGAAATGGAAAATTCAAAAAATCGAAAAATTGAAACATGGAAAAATGTTAAATTTAACAAAACGAGGTACTCATTGAAAAATCGACAAACTGATAAGTCGAAAATTCAAAAATCGAAAATTTGAAAAATACAAAAATTGAAAAACAGAAGAATCGAGAACTCAAAAAAGAAAGAAATATCGAAAAATCCAAGAGATCGGAAAACCGAATATTCGAAAATTTAAAAATCGGAAAACCGAAAAATCAAAAATTCGAAAAGAAGAATCGAAATATAGAAAAAACGAAACATCGGAAGTCGCAAAATTGAAAATTCTAAAATCTAAAAATGGAAAAATTGAAAATTCGAAAAACGGAAAAATCGAAAATTTGAAAAATCCAGAAATAGAGAAAAATTCCTAAAATTGAAAAAACAAAAAATTGATAAAATTGAAATTGAAAAAAGAAAAAATTATAAAAGCGAAACATTGAAAAATCGAAAAATTGTAAAAATAAAAAACCGAAACGAAAAATCGAAATTTCGAAAATTGAAAAATCCAGAAATAGAAAAATTTCCAAAATTGAACTGTTGAAAAGTTGAGAAATCGAAAACTTGAAAAATCAAGAAATCGAAAAATTTGAAACATTGAAAAACCGAAAAGTCGAGAAATGGAAAATTCGAAAATAAAAAATTGAAACATCGGAAATTGTAAAATTTAACAACTCGAAATAAATATTCATTGAAAAATCGGAAAAATGAAAAAACGAAAGTTTAAAAATTCGAAAATTTGAAAAATCGAAGAATTGAAAAACTGAAGAATCGATAAATCAAAAAGTGAACAATTGAAAATTCGACAATCGAGAGATCGGAAAACCGAAAATTCGAAAATCTAAAAATCGGAAAACCGAAAAATCAAAAACCCGAAAATGGAGATTTCGAAAAATTGACAAATTGGGAAATCGAAAACTTGAAAAATCGAGAAATCGAAAATTTTTAAACATTGAAAGTTGAAAAACCGAGAAATGAAAATTTAAAAAATCGAAAAATTGAAACATGGAAAAATATTAAATTTAACAAAACGAAGTGCTCATTGAAAAATCGAAAAACTGATAAATCGAAAATTCAAAAGGCAAAAATCGAAAATTTGAAAAATAGAAAAATTGAAAAACAGAAGAATCGAGAACTCAAAAAAGAAAGAATAGCGAAAAATCCGAGAAATCTGAAAACCGAATACATATTCGAAAATTTAAAATTCGGAAGACCGAAAAATCAAAAGTTCGAAAAGAAGAATAGAAATATAGAAAAAACGAAACATCAGAAGTCGCAAAATTGAAAATTCTAAAATCTAAAATTGGAAAAATTGAAAATTCGAAAAACGGAAAAATCGAAAATTTGAACAATCCAGGAATAGAAAAAATCCCATAATTGAAAAAGAACGAAAAGATCTAAAACGACGAAAGTGACGAAAAAAAAAGAAAAGGACGAAAAAAAAAGAAACGGACGAAATGGTCGAAAAAGGACGAAAAAGGAGTGAAAAGACGAAAAAGGACGTAAAGGATGAAAAATTGCAAGGACGAAAAAAAAAAATAAAAAGGACGAAAAGATCGAAAACAACGAAAAATGACGAAAAGAACGAAAATCCTAAAATTTCACATTAAAAAAATGAAAAATTATGAAATTAGAAGAGTGAAAAACTAAAAATTGAAAAAATAAAGATAATAAAAAAGCGAAACTAATTTTTTTTGAAAAATTGCAAATTCAAAAAATGGAAAAATCAAAATTTCGAAAACTGAAAATTTGAAAAATTGAAATCGAAAAATTGAAAAATCCAGAAATAGAAAAATTCCCAAAATTGAAGTGTTGAAAAGTTGAGAAATCAAAAACTTGAAAAATCAAGAAAACGAAAAATTTGAAACATTGAAAAACCGAAAAGTCGAGAAATGGAAAATTCGAAAAAAGAAAATTGAAACATCGGAAATTGTAAAATTTAACAAGTCGAAATAAATATTCATTGAAAAATCGGAAAAATGAAAAATCGAAAGTTTAAAAATTCGAAAATTTGAAAAATCGAGAAATCGAAAATTTTTAAAAATTTGAAAAATCATAAAATTGAAAAACTGAAGAATCGATAAATCCAAAAGTAAACAAATTGAAAATTCGACAATTGAGAGATCGGAAAACCAAAAATTCGAAAATCTAAAAACCGGAAAACCGAAAAATCAAAAACCTGAAAATGGAGATTTCGGAAAATTGAAAAATCGAGAAATCGAAAATTTTTAAACATTGAAAGTTGAAAAACCGAGAAATGAAAATTAAAAAAATCGAAAAATTGAAACATGGAAAAATATTAAATTTAACAAAACGAAGTGCTCATTGAAAAATCGAAAAACTGATAAATCGAAAATTCAAAAGGCAAAAATCGAAAATTTGAAAAATAGAAAAATTGAAAAACAGAAGAATCGAGAACTCAAAAAAGAAAGAATAGCGAAAAATCCGAGAAATCTGAAAACCGAATACATATTCGAAAATTTAAAATTCGGAAGACCGAAAAATCAAAAATTCGAAAAGAAGAATAGAAATATAGAAAAAACGAAACATCAGAAGTCGCAAAATTGAAAATTCTAAAATCTAAAATTGGAAAAATTGAAAATTCGAAAAACGGAAAAATCGAAAATTTGAAAAATCCAGGAATAGAAAAAATCCCATAATTGAAAAAGAACGAAAAGATCTAAAACGACGAAAGTGACGAAAAAAACGAAAAGGACGAAAAAGAACGATAAGGATAAAAATTGTGGAAAGGACGAAAAAAAAAGAAACGGACGAAATGGTCGAAAAAGGACGAAAAAGGAGTGAAAAGACGAAAAAGGACGTAAAGGATGAAAAATTGCAAGGACGAAAAAAAAAATAAAAAGGACGAAAAGATCGAAAACAACGAAAAATGACGAAAAGAACGAAAATCCTAAAATTTCACATTAAAAAAATGAAAAATTATGAAATTAGAAGAGTGAAAAACTAAAAATTGAAAAAATAAAGATAATAAAAAAGCGAAACTAATTTTTTTTGAAAAATTGCAAATTCAAAAAATGGAAAAATCAAAATTTCGAAAACTGAAAATTTGAAAAATTGAAATCGAAAAATTGAAAAATCCAGAAATAGAAAAATTCCCAAAATTGAAGTGTTGAAAAGTTGAGAAATCAAAAACTTGAAAAATCAAGAAAACGAAAAATTTGAAACATTGAAAAACCGAAAAGTCGAGAAATGGAAAATTCGAAAAAAGAAAATTGAAACATCGCAAATTGTAAAATTTAACAAGTCGAAATAAATATTCATTGAAAAATCGAAAGTTTAAAAATTCGAAAATTTGAAAAATCGAAGAATTGAAAAACTGAAGGATCGATAAATCAAAAAGTGAACAAATTGAAAATTCGAAAATCTAAAAACCGGAAAACCGAAAAATCAAAAACCCCAAAATGGAGATTTCGAAAAATTGAAAAATCGAGAAATCGAAAATTTGAAAAATAGAAAAACTGAAAAACAGAAGAATCGAGCACTCAAAAAAGAAAGAAATATCGAAAAATCCGAGAAATCTGAAAACCGAATACTCGAAATATAGAAAAAACGAAACATTGGAAGTCGCTAATTTAAAAATTCTAAAATCTAAAAATGAAAAAATTGAAAATTTAAAAAACGGAAAAATCGAAAATTTGAAAAATCCAGAAATAGAAAAATTCCCAAAATTGAAAAATTGACAAAGACAATAATACAGCGAAAATTGAAGACATAAAAAATTGAAAAAACAAAATATTGATAAAATTGAAATTGAAAAAAGAAAAAATTATACAAGCGAAACATTGAAAAATCGAAAAATTGTAAAAATGAACAACCAAAGAATAAAAAATTGGAAATCAAACAAACGAAAGTTTTTAAAATCGTAAAATTGAAAAAGTGAAATTTTTTCTAAATTATTACAGTCATTACACATTAAAATGAAAGCTAGAAAAACTGCAAATCAAAAATTAAAACAACGAAAAAAAAATTCAAGCCGTAAAATCGAAAAACTGAAATCCGAAAATTTTGAAATCAAAAAATTAAAAATCCAAAAACTGAAATTTACATTGAAAAAAAGAAAAATTATAAAATCAGAACAGTGAAAAATGGAAAAATTGAAGACGCGAAAAATAGCAAACTAAAAATTTAAAACATTAAAAAATTGGAAAAATACAGAAAATAAAAAACTGAAACCAAAAATTGCAAATCGAAAATTTGAAGAAATGAAAAACTGATGAATCAAAATTTGAAAAATTGAAATTCAAATGAAAAAATTTTAAAATCGTAAAATTAAAAAAAAGAAAAACTGAAAACCGAAAATTTTCAAATCAGAAAATTAGAAATTCCAAAAATTGTAACAAAATTAAAAATTGAAAAAATAAAGAAAAAACCGAAACAAAAAGTTGAAGAAACGAAAAACTGAAAAAATTAGAATTGAAAAATCAAAAAAATTAGAAAATCGGATACTCACTCAAAGACAAACTCCTCGTCCCAAACGGGGTCAGGCCCGGACTTAGCCCTCGTCCGGGCGATCCTCACTTGATTATTGAACTGTGTGGTAACGTACGGTTGTGGCACTAGTTTAAATGGCAGCCTGTGTGCGTCGAGCACGTGCAGCGTCAAACACCTCAACTCCCTCAACCTGGGGACTTTACACGTCGCCCTGCTCAGCTGAGGGACACACAGCGGCTTCAAGGCGTTCACCCAACCTTGGCACTCCTCGATAGATGGCGCCGCCAGGTGCGTGACCGTCGCCAAACACGGCAGAGCGCGTTCGACGATTTGCAAACAATGGGGGCGCTCCCACAGACTATCGTGGACCTGGTAGAGATAGGCGCACGACAAGTCGATCAGACCTTTAGGCTTCGTGCGCTTGGGATTTTCATAAAGGTACAAATGCGTGTCGGTACCGTCCACGACCAGAGCGAAGTACAAAAGCTTCCACTTTTTGGCGGCCTTGTCGGACTTCCGGTGGAGGAAGCCTTGGTGTTTGATGCCGCGCATTTTTTTCAAGCCGGCTTGGTCCCGGCATTCGCGCAAGGTCGCGTAGATTTTCTCGGCCTCGGACTTCACCTTGGGGTTGTCGGGCACCCAGTCGAGCTGCTTGCTGCCATCCACCACCAACTACAATAATAAAAAATTGGTCTAAAGAGTTTAGACAGTACTTCCCTCGCTGTCGGAAACTTGACGACTGCATGCCTATTGTGTTTTTTTTCTCATTACATTTTTGTAGTGGGAATTTAAAAAAAAATTGCGATGACGTCATCAACATTTTTGCAAGGACACGTATATCAGTTGGGATAGATGTAGTGTAATACTAAGAATAAAATTATTATATTCTCAAATTTTCGGGAAAATGAATTGGGTCGTTTGAATATTGATTTGTAATAATCAATAAAATAACGAAACAATTTACTCACGTATACCTACGTATCAGAGGCAACTGAAAATCGTGTATGTATAAACATTGTTAATTTAAGATGACAGGCGTAACAGCATACGTGAGAGCCAAACACAGAAACTGTAAACAAAACGACCGTCGGTTTTATTGCTTCGACTTCCGCTTATTATATAAAACATTGGGTTTTATTTTAATTCTTGACGGTGAAATTCACAATTGGTGGATTATAAACATGTCTATTTCACATTCGCGGAATCAAGTGAACGCATAAAACAAATGCAGGTCTGTAATGTTAAAGTCGATGTAAATAAGCGTGCTACCCTTATGTTTCAACCGAGTTTTTCCTTTAACAAATTTTGTGTCTACCAAATTGGGTTGGTTGGGGTGTAATACTAATAATAAGTGTTGCCTTTAATTTAATCAATAAAATAAATTGACTTTATTAATTTTTTTGAACCACCTCTTAAGAAAATCTAAAAAATATGAATGGAATGATAAATCACAAGTACAAACTCATCGTATTTTTTGCATTTTAGATAGGATTTATTCAGCAAAATTTAAGGGTGACGTCATCAATTTTTTTAGGAGGGATGAACAAATACATTTTGAACAAAAGTTTACCATGCTTATAATAACTTTAAAATATTCCCAAGATTTCAAAGCATTCGGTTTTGTAATTCCTGATTAAATCGATAAAATAAATTCACGCCTTCATTAATTTTTTTGAGTCACCCTGCATATGCAAATCCAAAAATATGAATGGAATGATAAATCACAAGTACAGACTCATCATATTTTGTACATTTTAGATACGATTTATTCGGAAAACTTTTGAGCTGACGTCATCAGTTTTTTGTAGAAGATAACCAAATATATTTTGACTAAAAATTTATTATGCTCTTTATAACCTTAAAACATCTGCAAGATTTCAAAGCATTCGGTTTTGTAGTTCCTGATTAAATCAATAAAATAAATTTACGCATTCATTAATTTTTTTGAGTCACTCTGTATATGCAAATCCAAAAAATATGAATGGAGTGATAAATGACAAGTACAGGCTCATCATATTTTGTACATTTTAGATATGATTTATTCGGCAAACTTTCGAGCTGACGTCATCAAGTTTTTGGAGGGGATAAGCAAATATATTTTGACTAAACATTTATTATGCTCTTTATGACCTTAAAACATCTGCAAGATTTCAGAGCATTCGGTTTTGTAGTTCCTGATTAAATCAATAAAATATATTTACGCATTCATTAATTTTTTTGAGTCACCCTGTATATGCAAATCCAAAAAATATTAATGGAGTGATAGTTCACAAGTACAGACTCATCATATTTTGTACATTTTAGATATGATTTATTCCACAAACTTTTGAGCTGACGTCATCAAGTTTTTGGAGGGGATAAGCAAATATTTTTTGACTAAAGATTTATGATGCTCTTTATAGCCTTAAAACATCTGCAACATTTCAAAGCATTCTGGTTAGCAGATTAAAAATTAAATTTCAAAATGTTGTTTTATAATTTTGATTTTTTTTCCAAAAATCTGGACGTTTCGGGTGAAAAGTCGATTCAGAGTTGTAAACTACATGTGTAGGACTATGTTATTTTATACAATTGAAAACCCATTTACTATGTACAATTTTGAAGTGACGTCATCGCTTTAGTGGTGGGGATGATTCGACAAATTTTGGTTAGCGTTTTACCATCTACATGATATTCTTAATATAAGTACAAAATTTCACAACAATCGGTCGAGTACTTTCGGAGATTATCTGTCTAATAAAAATCCGTGACAACAGACGGACAGATGGACAGACGGACGGACAGACGGACAGACGGACAGACAGACGGAAATGGGAGACCTATTTCTTCGTCTTCTAGGGGTCATGAAAGATCGAGAAAACGTAAAAGTAGAGAGTCTGCCGACGGACTCGATTACAATACTTCCTTTGCTTACGCTCGGGAAGTAAAAATCAATTTTTTATAAGTCCATCTGTTCGGTAAACGCTGTATAAAAATGAGTTTACTATTTTAGTACTTACGGGATGTTGTAGCGTGTACCCTTCCACGATTTGCTCCTTCCTGTACCTGTTGATGACGGCATCCAGACACTCAAAGATGCGTCCACCCATCAGGTAGCGCACCCCCTTTTTCTCGATTCGGAACCGCTGGATTTGGTTGTTGATGTGGAAAAATAGGGAGTAGTCACCTGGAGAGTTGTCGCTGGGACGCACCAGGAAGCTTCCAGGTCCGGCTGCAGCAAAAACGCTTCTTTAAATCGAGACCCAGTGAAAGACTGTGTTGTGAATGTCTTCATTTATAAATTAGGAGTCAGCAGGTGCTGCATTTGCTCATAAACATCGATAATTAAAAGCTATTTGCATTTATAAAAATGGAATTTACGAAAATAATCCACAAAGTAGACGGGTTACGGTGAAGACAGGTGCGCGAAGCGCACCTTGCCATTGTCTATGATCTAAACAACCTAACTGTCAACTTTTAAAATTCATCGACAAAAATATTTCCGCACAACGAACCCAATTTCCTATCAGCCTGGAGCATTAGAAAAAGCGTAATTTCTTATCTCGTCGGATGTTCCAACTTTTTAAAAACGTATTTACCAGACTTCCTCGTAAATCCTCCGTCAGGCGCTTCCAACGTATAAATCAATTACTGTTCACTCTTCGACACTCCGCAGCGTTTAATTTTCCGCGGAAATTCGGCGCCCACAAACAAGCTTAACTTGTCGGTAGGTTTTAAAACATCATCTCTCTTCGGAATAATTAATTGATAAATAATACCTGACGTCGGGCTCCATGAATTTTTTATTTTCGTGTGGGATGCGAAAAAAACGTAAATACTTGTGGGTTTGAGCCGATGATCCTTTAAATTGGAGGCGGATCGGGGGAAAAAAGTTCATTTTTACTTTCGGAGGGTGCGATTACGTTGTATTTGTGTCCCCACCATCAGGTTGATGACGTCATTTCAAAATTGATTTTATAAAATTATACGGTTGTAAAAATTTGAAAACATCTCACACATCCCTTAGTGTCTTTTTTTTTAATAATTTGAACGAATTTCAAGGCTCCATGCTTTTTTGATTTTCTAAAAATTTTAAATAAACTTGGGAACCCCTGGTAGTTTTTTATTTGAAAAAATATTAAATATCTTGGGGTCGCAGGGGTTTTTTCCCTAACAATTCAAGGTTTCAAGCGTAACCCTAATAATTTTTCATATTTTTTTAAAATACAAAAAACTAGTAGACTTTTCAGATTCCTTCAAATTTTAAAATAGTGAATGAAAATAGAAGAAACCCCCGGGATTCTAATTCTTAAAAAATTTATTCCAAAAATCCACAAAATTTTCCATATTTTTTCAAAAAACAACTAGGACTCCCCAATTCTTTCAAATTTTTACAAAATTGAAATGAATGAGGCCCCGGGATTTTAATTATTATTACTATTAGAATTGGAATCTCGTGGGCCCCTTTCAGTTTTAATTTTCTAAAAATTTGAAAGAAATGGGGAGTTCCTGATGTTATTTTTATTTTGATTATTTTGAAGAAATATGAAAAATTCGTACGTTTCAGAGTTTTTTTTAAGAATTTAACGAATCTTGAGCTTCTAACGTCTTTTTATTTCAAAGACTAAAATTCCATACGTTTCAATTTTGTAAAAATTTGAAAAAATCTAGGAGGCCCAACTGTTTTTTCATTTTGAAAACATATTGAAATATTTTTGGGATTCCCCAATTTTTTTTTTAATTATAATCTCGGGGGCTGCTGTTTTAATTTAGTAAAAATTTGAAAACAATCTTGGGGTCCCAAGAGTCTCTTTTTTTTTAAGAATTAAGAGTCTCGAGGGCCCCTTCTGTTTTAATTTTGTAAAAATTGAATGAATCTTGGGAAGTCCAGAAGTTTTTTTTTATTTTGGAAAAATCTTGTGATTCCCAGAGTCCCTTTAAAGAATTTAAAAGAATCTTGGAACCCTAACCTTCTTTTTTTTTATTTAGAATCTCGGGAGTCCCTTTCTGTTTTAATTTCGTAATAATCTGAAAGAATCTGGGGAGTCCCTGCTGTTGTTTTTTATTTTGAAAAAATATAGAAAAATTTTTGGATTCCTGAAGACTTTTTTTAAGAATTGAAAAGAATCTTGGGGTCCCAAACGTGTTCTTTTTTTTAATTAGAATCTCGAGAGTCCTTTTCTGTTTTAATTTTGTAATAATTTAAAAGAATCTTGGGAGTTCCAGCTGGTTTCTTGATTTTGAAAAAATATAGAAACATTTTGGGATTCCTAGGGTCTTTTTCTAAGAATTGAAAAGAATCTTGGGGTCCCCAGCGTTTTCTTTTTTTTTAATTAAAAGCTTGGGAGTTCCTTTCCGTCCTAATTTTGTGAAAATTTTAAAGAATCTTGGGAGTCCCAGTTTTTTTTTTGATTCTGAAAAAATATAGAAAAATTTTGTTTTAACTTTGTAAAAATTTGAAAGAATCTTGGGAGTCCCAGCTGTTTTGTTGATTTTGAAAAAATATACAAAAATTTTAGGATTCCTGGAGTCTTTAATTTTGTAAAAATTTTAAAGAATTTTGAGAGTCCCAGTTTTTTTTTGATTTTGAAAAAATATAGAAAAATTTTGGGATTCCTGGAGACTTTTTTTAAGAATCTAGAAGAATCTTGGGATCCCAAGCGTTTTCTTTTTTTTTTAATTACAATCTCCGGAGTCCCTTTCTAATTTAACTTTGTAAAAATATGAAAGTCTTGGGAGTCCCAGTTTTTTTTAATTCTGAAAAAATATGGAAAAATTTTGAGATTCCTGGAGATTTTTTTTAAGAATTTAAAAGAATCTTGGGATCCCGAGAGTGTTATTTTTTTAAATTAGAATCGCGGGAGTCCTTTTCTGTTTTAACTTTGTAAAAATTTGAAAAAATCTTGGGAGTCCCAGCTGTTTTGTTGATTTTGAAAAAATATAGAAAAATTTTAGGATTCCTGGAGTCTTTTTAATTTTGTAAAAATTTTAAAGAATCTTGGGAGTCCCAGTATTCTTTTTTGATTCTGAAAAAATATAGAAACATTTTGCGATTCCTGGAGACTGTTTTTAAGAATTTAAAAGAATATTGGACTCGCAAACCGGTTCTTTTTTTCTAAATTAAAATCTCGGGAGTCCCTTTCTGTTTTAATTTTGCAAAAATTTTAAATAATCTTGGGAGTCCCAGTTTTTTTATTCTGAAAAAATATAGAAAAATTTTGGGATTCCTGGAGACTTTTTTTAAGAATCTAAAAGAATCTTGGGATCCCAAGATCCCAAGCGTGTTCTTTTTTTTTATTCGAATCTCGGGAGTCCCTTGTTGTTTTAACTTTGTAAAAATTTGAAAGAATCTTGGGAGTCCCAGTTTTTTTTATTCCGAAAAAATATAGAAAAATTTTGGGATTCCTGAAGACTTTTTTTAAGAATTTAAAAGAATCTTGGGATCCCAAGCGTGTTCTTTTTTTTAAATTAGAATCTCGGGAGTCCCTTTCTGTTTTAACCTTGTAAAAATTTGAAAGAATGTTGGGAGTCCCAGTTGTTTTGTTGATTTTGAAAAAATATAGAAAAATTTTGGGATTCCTGGAGTCTTTTTAATTTTGTAAAAATTTTAAAGAATTTTGGGAGTCCCAGTTTTTTCTTTGATTTTGAAAAAATATAGAAAAATTTTGCGATTCCTGGACTTTTTTTAAAAATCTAAAAGAATCTCGGGATCCCAACCGTTTTTTTTTTATTAGAATCTCGGGAGTCCCTTTCTGTTTTAACTTTGTAAAAATTTGAAAGAGCCTTGGGAGTCCCAGTTTTTTTTATTCTGAAAAAATATAGAAAAACTTTGGGATTCCTGGAGACTTTTTTTAAGACTTTAAAAGAATCTTAGGATTCCAAGCGTGTTTTTTTTTTAAATTTGAATCTCGGGAGTCCCTTTTTGTTTTAACTTTGTAAAAATTTGAAAGAGTCCTGGGAGTCCCAGCTGTTTTGTTTTGAAAAAATATAGACAAATTTTGGGATTCCTGTAGTCTTTTTAATTTTATCAAAATTTTAAAGAATCTTGGGAGTCCCAGTATTCTTTTTTGATCCCGAAAAAATATAGAAAAATTTTGGGATTCCTGGAGACTTTTTAAGAATTTAAAAGAATCTTGGACTCGCAAACCTGTTCTTTTTTTCTAAATTAGAATCTCGGGAGTCCCTTTCTGTTTTAATTTTGCAAAAATTTTAAAGAATCTTGGGAGTCCCAGTTTTTTTTTATTCTGAAAAAATATAGAAAAATTTTGGGATTCCTGGAGACTTTTTTTAAGAATTCAAAAGAATCTTAGGTTCCCAAGCGTGTTCTTTTTTTTAATTTGAATCTCGGGAGTCCCTTTTTGTTTTAACTTTGTAAAAATTTGAAAGAGTCCTGGGAGTCCCAGCCGTTCTATTGATTTTGAAAAAATATAGAAACATTTTGGGATTCCTGGAGTCCTTTTAATTTTGTCAAAATTTTAAAGAATCTTGGAAGTCCCAGTATTCTTTTTTGATTCTGAAAAAATATAGAAAAATTTTGGGGTTCCTGGAGATTTTTTTTAAGAATTTAAAAGAATCTTGGACTCGCAAACCTGTTCTTTTTTTCTAAATTAGAATCTCGGAAGTCCCTTTCTGTTTTAATTTTGCAAAAGTTTTAAAGAATCTTGGGAGTCCTAGTTTTTTTTATTCTGAAAAAAAATAGAAAAATTTTGGGATTCCTGGAGACTTTTTTTAAGAATTTAAAAGAATCTTGGACTCGCAAACCTGTTCTTTTTTTCTAAATTAGAATCTCGGGAGTCCCTTTCTGTTTTAATTTTGCAAACATTTTAAAGAAACTTGGGAGTCCCAGTTTTTTTTTATTCTGAAAAAATATAGAAAAATTTTGGGATTCCTGGAGACTTTTTTTAAGAATTTAAAAGAATCTTGGACTCGCAAACCTGTTCTTTTTTTCTAAATTAGAATCTCGGGAGTCCCTTCCTGTTTTAATTGTGCAAAAATTTTAAAGAATCTTGGGAGTCCCAGTTTTTTTTTATTCTGAAAAAATATAGAAAAATTTTGGGATTTCTGGGGACTTTTTAAGATTTTAAAAGAATCTTAGGATTCCAACCGTGTTTTTTTTAATTTGAATCTCGGGAGTCCCTTTTTGTTTTAACTTTATAAAAATTTGAAAAAGTCCTGGGAGTCCCAGCTGTTTTGTTGATTTTGAAAAAATATAGAAAAATTTTGGGATTCCTGGAGACATTTTTTAAGAATCTGAAAGAATCTTGGGATCCCAAGCGTGTTCTTTTTTTTTAAATTAGAATCCCGTGAGTCCCTTTCTGTTTTAGCTTTGTAAAAATTTGAAAGAATCTTGGGAGTCCCAGTTTTTTTTTTGATTCTGAAAAAATATAGAAAAATTTTGGGATTCCTGGAGATTTTTTTTAAGAATCTAAAAGAATCTCGGAATCCCAAGCGTTTTCTTTTTTTTAAATTAGAATCCCGGGAGTCCCTTGCTGTTTTAGCTTTGTAAAAATTTGAAAGAATCTTGGGAGTCCCAGTTTTTTTTTTATTCTGAAAAAATATAGAAAAATTTTGGGATTCCTGGAGATTTTTTTTAAGAATCTAAAAGAATCTCGGAATCCCAAGCGTTTTCTTTTTTTTAAATTAGAATCTCGGGAGTCCCTTGCTGTTTTAGCTTTGTAAAAATTTGAAAGAATCTTGGGAGTCCCAGTTTTTTTTTTTTTGATTCTGAAAAAATATAGAAAAATTTTGGGATTCCTGGAGACTTTTTTTAAGAACCTAAAAGAATCTTGGGATCCCAAGCGTTTTCTTTTTTTTTAATTACAATCTCGGGAGTCCCTTTCTGTTTTAACTTTGTAAAAATTTGAAAGAATCTTGGAAGTCCCAGCTGTTTTGTTGATTCTGAAAAAATATAGAAAAATTTTGGGATTCTGGAGACTTTGTTTAAGAATTTAAAAGAATCTTGGGATCCCGAGCGTGTTCTTTTTTTTTAAATTAGAATCTCGGGAGTCTCTTTCTGTTTTAACTTTGTAAAACTTTGAAAGAATCTTGGGAGTCCCTGTTTTTTTTTTATGAAAAAATCTTTTGATCCCTGGAGTTTTTGGAAGAATTTAAAAGAATCAACATTCCTGGTGTCTTTTTTTATTTAAAAAAAAATATGAAAAATTCTTGAGATCTGAAGGTTTTTTTTTAAGAATTTAAAAGAATCTCTGGTGTCTCTCAATTTTTTAAAAATTTGAAGGAATTTTTACGCCCCTGATTGTTTTACTATTATTATTATTATTAAAAAATATGAATAGCCGAAAAATGAAGAAATCGAAAAACCAAAAATTGCAAAATCACAAAAACTGTAAAATCGGAAAATTGAATCGAAAAATGGAAAAATCGAGAAATTGAAAATTTTCAAAACTGATATGACGAAAAATTGTGAAATCGAGAAATGGAAAAATCGGAACATCGAAAAATTGGAAAATCTAAAGCCGAAAAGTCGAAAAAACGAAAAACCGAGAAATGGAAAAATCGAAAAATCCAAAAATTCAAAAACTGAAACATTGAGAAATCGAAACATCAAAAAATCGAGAAATCGAGAAATGGAAATGGCCGAAATCGAAAAATCGGGTGATAGCAAAATTGAAAAACCAGAAAACTGAAAAAAACTTAAAAACCTTAATTGAGAAATAGAAATATCGGAAAACTTAAAAATCGAAAAATCGAGAAAGCGAAGAATCTAAAATTTAAAAAATCGCAAAAATTGAAAATTTTCAAAATTGAAATCACGAAAAATTGTAAAACATCGAGAAAATATGAAAAAATCTTGGGATCCCTGTGGTGCTTTTTAAGAATTTAAAAGAATCTTGAGGTTCTAAGCCATCCTTTTTAATTTTGCAAAAATTCGAAAGAATCTGAGGAGTCCTTGAAAAAATATGGAAACATTTTGGATTCCTGGAGTCTTTTTTTTAAGAATTGGAATCTCAAGGGATTGAAAGTATCTCGTATCTACTATTTTGTTCTATAAAAATTTGGAACGATTTTGTATCCCTAGTGTCCGCTTTTTTGGACAGAACTTTCCAATAAACCATTTTAGTTTCTCTTAAAAACCCACTATTTTGATCCGAAATTGTCTACCCATCCCCACCAAAATTTCGATGACGTAACCTCAAAAAATTTGCCACGCGAATCCAACTTAAAATGTATCTAAACAGCTTCAGACAAATATTTGTTCTGTGGGTACAGATTTTCGCAATAAGTCGGTTTGTAAGATGGAAATTTCACATAGCCATTAGCATTCAATTAATTTGTTTGGGTGCAACTGTGGCATTTTAGCCTAGTTCCCACCATTCAGATGGATATCTGAGGACAGTAATTTCATAATTCAACACTAAAACATGCTGTAGGCATGAGAAAACACGCCGGAATTACCTAAACTGGGATAACAAAGAACGGAATTGACTCTGTCAAGTGTGAAATTATGGTTGTTGGAAAAGAAATCACTTCGATTGTAAAATTCGGGGAAAATGGTGTTGTGTAAACAAGTTTACCATTTTTTTCCAGAGTGAATGAGCCGAAAAAGCGCGGGTTTTTGCACCTTAAAATTTGTGTTGTGCGGTATAATTAATTAATTACCACGTACAATAACGTCTTTTCGCCATCGACATCTCCCACATTACGTTTGTACATTTTCTACAGATAATAAACCAACGTACAAGAAACCGATTAACTAATAAAAAAATTACGTAATCCGTTAGTTTATTCAATTACAAGTAATAACGCTATTAATTGCCCCACGTCATTACTCCACGTTGCGTCGCATAATACACCTCCAACCGTCCATAATGAATTTTCTATTGAAATCAATTCCACCCATTACCACTTATCACCTCGGTGACCTTTCCACCAAAAAAATCCAAACACAAAAATCCAAATTGTGAAAGGACGCAGAAACCTAACTTCTAAGAACTCCAACAAAGCATCAATAATTGATACACTTACGATATGCTAATTAATGAAGCAGTTATGTTTAGTCACCAAAAATCCGCTCGACCGTTATAACTGTCTTAGGAAACTCACCTTTGACGAGCAAATCCACGGCTTCGTTTTTTGTACAGTTGGGATGGAACCACGGGAAAACGGTATTGGGGTCGATGCTGTCGTCCAGGTCCTCCACCAGCTCCCGGAAGATCATCCCCTGCTCGCCCGTTCGATGGGCGGTGACCCAGAGCCAACCGTTGCCCATGTCGTTGTGGACGAAGAAGATGTCGCCTTTTTTGAATGTTAGCTCGTCGGTGTCGGGCATTTTGGTGTAGGGGAGGATGGCCACGACCCGCTGAAACGAAAAAGTTTTCTAAAATTTTTCCAATTTTTTTTTTTTGGAATTCCTGAAGTCTTTTTTTTTATTATAATCTCTGGGGCTTCTATTTTAGTCTACTGAACATTTATTTAACAGAATCTGGGTAATCTGCGGTTTTTTGCATTTTGAAAAATATGAAAAAATCTTTTAGGTTCCAAACGTCTTTTTTTAAGAATTGGAATCTCGAGAAAATGAAAAATCGAATAAATGAAAAAGTTTTAAAATCCAATCATTGAAAAATGTAAAAATTATAAATTCGCAAAATTGAAAAAGTGATAAAAATTGAAGAAACGAAAAATTGAAAAATTTCACAGTGAAAAAAAAGGAAAATTATAAAAGACCATAAAAATATGGGAGTCCCTGACGTTTTTTTTTTTGAAAAAAACTTGTGATTCCTAGTCTTTTTGAAGAATTAAAAAAAAATTTCATTTTGTCGATTTTTGATCACAATTTTTTTTCATTTCCTTCGTTTATTCAATTTTTTAATTTTTTATATCTGATTTTCCAATTCCTCGGTTTTCCAATTTTTCAATTTTTGAATTTTGCAATTTTTGGGTTTTTCAGTTACTCGATTTTCCGATTTCTGTAATTATCAATATTTCCTTTTTTGTACTTTTTCGATTTTTAAGTTTCTCAATTTTTAATTTTTCGATTTTTCAATTTTTCGTTCAAATTCTTGATTTCCAATTTTTAGATTTTTTTAAATTTCCATTTTAAACTTTTTAATTTTTTTAATATTCCAACTTTACAATTTTTCAATTTACCACGTTTTCATCATTTCAGTTTTGGAATTTTTTAATTTTCGCAATTTTTCAACTCTTCAACTTTCCGATTTTTCAACTTTTCGGTTTCTTAAATTTTGGTTGATTCGATTTCTCGGTTGTTCAACTTTTCAACCTTTCGATTTTTGATTTCGTTTCTCGATTTTTCGTTTTTTCAGTTCTTCGATATTTCTATTTTCCAAATTTTCGAATTTTTAATTTTTGAGTTTATTGATTTTTCAATTTTTCGATATTTCACGATTTTTTTATTCGATCGAAAAATTGAAAAAGAGATATAATTTTAAAAATTATAATTATTATTACAAATTTAAAATGAAAACTAAAAAAATTGCAAATCAAAAATTGAAGAAAGGTAAAATTTAAAAATCTAGAAACTGAAAAATCTAAAATTGAAAAAACGAAAACTTGAAGGAACCAAAAATTGACAATTTTCATATTGAAAAAAAAAAAAGAAAAATTATAAAAGAACATTGAAATCGGGGGATCTCTGATGTTTTTTTATTTTGAAAAAATCTTGTGATTCCTAGAGACTTCTTGAAAAATTGTTAAAAATCTTGAGGTCCCGAGCGTCTTTTTTTTAAGAATCAGAATCTCGAGAGCCCCTATCGTTTTTGATTTTGAAAAATATAGAAATATTGGTAATTTTTTGGATTTCTGAGTCTTTTTTGAAGGACTTAAAAGAATTTTGGTGTCCCAAGGGTCTTTTTTTAAGTAGAATCTCTGGAGTTCCTCTTTCTATTGTAATTTTGTAATAATTTGAAAAAGTCTGGAACAATTTTGGGATTCCTGGAGTGTTTTGTTAAGAATTAGAATCTAGGGGTCTCCTGTTTTAATTTAGTAAAAATTTGATAGAATCCTGGAAGTCTGCTGGTTTTTTTTTCATTTTGAAAAAATATGAAAAAATCTAGTTTTTTCATTTCCTTCATTTTTTCAATGTTTTCGATTTTATAATTTTTCCTTTATTCAATTTTTTATTTAATTTTCTAGATCTGATTTTTCAATTCTTCGGTTTTGCAATTTTTGGATTTTTCAATTACTCGATTTTCCGATTTTTAAATTTCTCAATTTTTAATTTTTCGATTTTTCTATATTTCATTATCTAATCATTTCTAAATTCTGTTTTTTTTATTTATCGATTTTTCGTTTTCTCAGTTCTTCGATATTTCTGTTTTTCAAATTTTCGAATTTTTAATTTTTCAGTCTACTGATTTTTCAATTTTTCGATATTTCACGAATCAAAAATCGAAAAACTGAAAAACTAAAAATTGCAAAATCAAAAAAGTGGAAAATCTAAAAATTGCAAATCGAAGCGAAGAAGGAACGGAAGATTGAAACATTGAAAAACTAAAGATGCATAAACTTAAAAATCGAAAAAAAAAAAATCATCAAAATTGTAAAGTGGAAAAATTGTAACTTTGAAAAATTAAAAATCGAAAAAATGAAACATCGAATAATTGAAAGTGATAAAAATTTTAAAATTATAATCATTATTACATATTCAAAAATGAAAACTAGAAAAATTCCAAATCAAAAATTGAAGAAACCAAAAATTGAAAATTTTCATATTGAAAAAAAAAGAAAAATTATAAAAGAAGATTGAAATCGGGGGAGTCCCTGAGGTTTTTTTATTTTGAAAAAATCTTGTGATTCCTGAGGTTCCGGGCGTCTTTTTTTTTAAGAATCAGAACCTCGAGAGCCCCTTTCGTTTTTAATTTTGAAAAAATATAGAAAAATTGGTACATTTTGGGATTCCTGAGTCTTTTTTGAAGGACTTAAAAGAATTTTGGTGTCCCAAGGGTCTTTTTTTAAGTAGAATCTCTGGAGTTCCTCTTTCTACTATAATTTTGTAATAATTTGAAAAAGTCTGGAACAATTTTGGGATTCCTGGAGTCGTTTTTAAGAGTTAGAATCTCGGGGTCTCCTGTTTTAATTTAGTAAAAATTTGATAGAATCCTGGAAGTCAGCTGTTTTTTTTTTCATTTTGAAAAAATATGAAAAAAATCTAGTTTTTTCATTTCCTTCATTTTTTCAATGTTTCTTCCGATTTTATAATTTTTCGTTTATTTAATTTTTTATATAATTTTCTATATCTGATTTTTCAATTCCTCGGTTTTTCAATTTCTAAATTTTTCAATTGTGCAATTTTTGGATTTTTTAATTACTCGATTTTCCGATTTTTTTAATTTTCAATATTTCGTTTTCTGTACTTTTTCGATTTTTAAATTTCTCAATTTTTCTATATTTCATTATCTAATCATTTCTAAATTATTTTTCGATATTTCACGATTTTTTGATTCGAAAAGCGAAAAACTGAAAAACTAAAAATTGCAAAATGAAAAAAGTGGAAAATCAAAAAATTGCGAATCGAAGCAAAGAAGAAACGGAAGATTGAAACATTGAAAATCTAAAGATGGATAAACTTAAGAATCGAAAAAATTTTTTATATCTGATTTTTCAATTCCTCGGTTTTCCAATTTTTCAATTTTTCAATTTTGCAATTTTTGGGTTTTTCAGTTACTCGATTTTCCGATTTCTGTAATTATCAATATTTCCTTTTCTGTACTTTTTCGATTTTTAAATTTCTCAATTTTTAATTTTTCGATTTTTCTATATTTATTATCTAATCATTTCTAAATTATTTTTCGATATTTCACGATTTTTTTATTCGAAAATCGAAAAATCGAAAAACTGAAAAACTAAAAATTGCAAAATCAAAAAAGTGGAAAATCAAAAATTGCAAATCGAAGCAAAGAAGAAACGGAAGATTGAAACACTGAAAAACTAAAGATGGATAAACTTAAAAATAAAAAAAAAATCATCAAAATTGTAAAGTGGAACAATTGTAACTTCGAAAAATCCAAAAATTGAAAAATTAAAAATCGAAAACATGAAACATCGAATAATTGAGTGATAAGAATTTTTAAAATTATAATTATTATTACGTATTCAAAAATGAATACTAGAAAAATTGCAAATCAAAACTAGAAACTGAAAAATCCAAAATTGAGAAAACGAAAAATTGAAGAACCCAAAAATTGAGAAATTTCACATCAAATAGAAAAATGATAAAAGAACAGTGCAAAACCGAAAAATTGAAAAAATAAAAAACCGAAACGAAAAATTGCAAAAATCTAAAAACTAAAAAAATTAAAAAAGAAAATTCCAAGAGTTGCATGTCATAAAATTGAAGGCACAAAAAAATGAAAAATTGAAAAAACAAAAAATTATAAACTCGAAAAATTGTAAATCGAAAATTGAAAAATTAAACACTCGAGAAACTCAATCGGAAAATGCAAAATCTAAAAATTGAAAAATTTGAAAAAAACAAAAAATCAAAAATTCAAGCCAAAAAAGCTCTGAGAGTGTTATTAGACGTAAATTATCAAAAATAAAAATCGTAAATGTTTATAATTTTTAAAAGAACCGGGATTTGTTGGGCTGCTTCGACGATTATGGTTTCAACTTGAAGTAGTAGAAAAAGCATAGTATGTAACAAGTTGATAAACTTCTCTAGACACTCGTGCCTATGAATTTACACCTTGTTTTGCCAGAGATAACCCACTTTCCGCTAGTTTATTCTCAATTATATTTGTTGTTAGATAAAATTTTATAGTACTCCTCTGTAAACCCACTTTTTCCAATTCAATCCAAACCAAAAAAATCTAATTTAGAGTGCACTCCATGTGATAATGCAGTGTCTCACTTCATCCAAATCAGGAAACACTGGACGTTATCAGCCGGAAAAGCATTGAATGTTATCCATAAACCGTAAAAGTCACAAAAAATTGATATGAAAGAGTTAAACAACTCTCGCGGATAAAAATAGGCCACGAAACAACGAACGAAGAAAAACTCACAAAGAATGCACCACATAATCACCATGACTCACTTTTCCATATCACGGGATGATGCAGCAACTGGTTATAATGGCACTGATTTTTGTCGAAATTTTCTTGCGTCATGATCTCTTAATCACAAGAAATTTCATCGCGGCTTCGCTCGAACGAACTCTAACAAGAAAAACAATTTCGCAATTTTCAATAAACGATATCAAACGAATCCGAGCAATAAAAGTAAATGTGAATCATTGCAAGACTTGAGCCACCTGTTTTAAACAATAATCATTCCCAATCAACTAATTGTCGTCTTTGAGACCACCTCATGCGCTTACTAATTGCGGAATTATTTTTAACTTCGAAAAAAGCACTACCTCATGGTTTTTCCCGGCTCCAGGAATAAATCCGGGCGAAAGAATTGTCTTCTGGAGTGTAGGGGAAGTAAAAAAAGTAAAAAATCTGGGCTTTTGATAAAGAGTGTGTTTGAGAGTAGTACAAGTGATAAGATAATTTTTATCTACGGAACGTTGGGGTATTTGGATTAAACATTTATTAATAATGTTTTAAGTAACGTCATCAATCTTAAGGAGGGGAGGCAAATTTTGATTGACTTAGGGTTATGGAATATTGCAATATCCTAAGTTGACCCAGGAAAATCGCTTTTTTCACTTTGTTTGTTTCTACATCCAATCCATTTTAATTTGATTAAAGTTAAGTAAGGGTAGGTGACGTACGTCGTCGCTAGAGTCAGACCCTCTTATTGTCATTTTACTTCACTATTATCTATCTTATTTTCTTGAAAATTAACACAGCTTACCACATTGTTAAATGTAGCAATGTGCCGCCCCCACTCACCTTCTTGTCGTTGACGGGCTCCGGCGGCGGCACCGGGTGCACCAGCCGCTCCCTCTTCAGCAGGTCGCTCTTCTCCGTGTAGTACCCCACCAGGTCGTTCAGACTCACGAACTGCCTGCCCCCGATGTAGAAGTCGCCGCACACCGCCGTGATCCTGAAATGGTTCATCCCCGTCCGGCCCAGGAAGCTCAGGACGTAGGAGCCCGGCTTGCGGTCGCTCTCCCGCACCAAGTAACTCCCCAGTTTGTTGGACAGCCAGAGGCGCTCCTCCGCCTGGTAGCGGTCCAGGCGGCCGTGGTACCACAGCGTCTCCGAGGGCGCGAAGGGCGCCGAGTCCCCCAGGTCCACCTCGTCGGGCTCCGCCTTGGCCGCCCCCTGGGCGTCCTGCTCGTTGCCGTCCTCGCTTCCGGTGCTGGGCGAGCCCAGCTTGTCTTTGGCGGGCCCGTGGCCCCCTGCGCGCACCAGGTCGGCCATTTCGGGCCTTCACATAACCAGCTCTTCGGCGATGGCTCTTTCGGTGCTCGCCGAACTAACCTACACCATCGTGAACGCTGACGTGCTGGTTTATTGATATTTGTGTGATGAGTGGACGAGGGGAATGAACACTTCAACGATTTTGACAAATTCCGACGAATGGAATGACTCAGGAAGCGGCGTTGCCGGATTCACGAGACACGGTAGAGGATGTAAATAGTGGCATTGACGTTGGAAATGTGGAGAGAGCGACAGGGGCGCATGCGCACTTGTGACACCGGATTTTCTTTAGTTTTTATTTCACAATTCATTTTCGAAAAAATGGACGATAGTTGCGTTAATGAAATGATTCGTTTCAGCTAAAAGTGGTAATACGTGTTTGAAGAACAAAAATGGGTTCCCCTTGAGTCGATCTGTAAATAAATAATAATAACAAGTGAGCCATCATCTACTTAAGCTTAATTCTTTACGTTGTATTACCAGTGCTAGGAATAATAGGCGCTCAAGTGTCAAGTCGGTCGTGATGCATTTGATAGCGCGTTTTTCTGATGTATTGTTTTACGTGATTGTTCTGTGGCTTGGAAACGTAAATTTAGTATTTTTGATACATGATGTATTTACTCCAAAAACACAAATCTGTGTAAGTTTCGATCTATTAAGTTTAATTTTTTAATACAGAGTTATTTTTAAAGGGACTCGCTACAACAGGTATATATTTTTTTCCTTTTTTCAACCTAAAATCTACCCGTAATAAATTTATTAAACAAAGATTCATTATTGTTAAAATATCATCGTACTATTTAGTTTAAAATATCTCAAAAAATTCTCGTTTCGAATTCAAAATTTTCTGTAATTAAACCAGGAAATTTTTATTCTTGTCCACTTGATTCTGTCTAAATGTTTAAGACAATTTTATTTCTGTTTAGTATAACATCCACCTCTCATTGGGACCATATAAAATTAATCACTGAAATGTAAGCAGGGTGGGTGGGCGGGGTTAATTATATGCCTTGAACAACACGATACCCAAAAACATGTTTTTAATTTTTTTTTTAAGAAATAAGTGTTTTGCAGTTAAGCAAAGAAAGTCAAGATTCTCGGCGAATAAAAAAAAATCATCACAATTGAGACAGGGCGGGCGGGCGGGCTTAAATTTTGTCTTTTTGTTTTAATATGTGTAGACTTCTTTTCATAACATGAAACTTAAAATATGTTTAAAATTTTAAATTTGTATAAGGAAATATGGATTTTGGAACTAGACTCCGCCCCACAATTGTAAATCCATATTTCCTTGCAAACACGTACTATTTTAACCATGTTCTAGTTTCTTGTTGTGAAAAGATGGCTATGTATATTAAGAAAAAAAGGCAAAATATAGCCCCGCCCACCCACCCTGTCTCAATTCTGATGATTTTTTTTTTATTCGTCGTAAGCCGAGGGGTGTATATTAATTGCAAAATCCATATTACCTTACAAAATTTACTATTTTAAATGTGTTTTAAATTTCTAAGAATAAAAAAAAACACCACAATTGAGATGGGGTGGGTGGGCGGGGTTTATATTTTGCCCTTTTTTCTTAATATACATAGTATTCTTTGAACAACACGATACTCAAAAACATAATTTTAATTTCCTGTCAAAAAACAAGTATTTTGGAGTTAAGCTCCTTAATCTTGGCTCATGCCCAAAAAAAAATAATCACAATTGAGATAGGGCGGGTGGGCGGGCTTACATTTTATCTTTTTGTTTTAATACGTGTAGACTTTTTTTTACAACATTAAACTTGAACCATATTTAGGCTCCGCCCCACTATTGCAAAATCCATATTTCCTTGCAAAAATCTACCATTTTAGCCATGTTTTAAGTTTCTTGTTGTGAAAAGATGGAGCTGAATATTACGAAAAAAGGGGAAATATAAGCCCCGCCCACCCACCCTATCTCAATTGTGATGATTTTTTTATTCGTCGTAAGCCGAAGGGCGGAGCTTAATAAAATCCTTATTTTTCTACGAGAAACTACGTTGTGAAATGTGTTCTTAAGTAATCGTGTTATATAAAGAAAACTAAATGTATTAATAGAAAAAAGAAAACTAAAAGAGAAGCCCCACCCATCCGTTTCGATCCTAATTGTGATGAATTTTTCACTCGTTGTCAGACCGAGGGGCGGAGCGTAATTGCAAATTCAATATTTCCCTATACAAATTTACCATTTTAGACATGTTTTAAGTTTCTTGTTGTGAAAAAATGACTACACATATTAAGAAAAAAGGCAAAATATAGCCCCGCCCACCCACCCTGTCTCAATTCTGATGATTTTTTTTATTCGTCGTAAGCCGAGGGGCGGATCCTATTTGCAAAATTCATATTGCCTTCTAAAAATTTACTATTTTAAATGTGTTTTAAGATTCTAATAAAAATAATCCACACAATTGAGATAGGGTGGGTGGGTGGGGTATATATTTTGCCCTTTTTTCTTAATATACATAGCATTTTTTGGACAACACAATACTCAAAAACATGTTTTTAATTTCTTGTAAAGAAACAAGCACTTTGCAGCTAAGCTCCGCCCCCTTAGTTCACGGCCAATGAAAAAAATATAATCGCAATTGAGATAGGGCGGGTGGGCGGGCTTACATTTTGCCTTTTTTGTTTTAATATGTGTAGACTTCTTTCCACAACAAGAAACTTAAAACATGTTTAAAATGGGAAGTCTGTGGAAGGAAATATCAATTTTGCAGTAGTCTCCGCCCCATAATTGCAAAATCCATATTTCCGTTCAAAAATGTACCATTTTACCTATTTTTAAGATTCTTGTTGTGAAAAGATGGCTATGCATATTAAGAAAGAAAAAAAAGGCAAAATATAAGCCCCGCCCACCCACCCTATAAAGTCTGGTTTACGCAAACGTTTTTGGACTCACTTTTTTTTTTAATAATAAAAAAATCTGTCGTCACCAATTTACTTTCCCAGAACACTGATGAGTATTTTTACCAATAATAGTTTAGTTTCTCAGCGGCACCGATGAACATTATATATATTTATTAACCTTAAAAAAATAAATTTTAGGTTTAACTTTAATTAATTTTCCAAAGAAATCTGAAGAAAGTTTCTTATAAATTTCGATTTGTTAAAGTTGTTTTCGGTTTCTTTCTTTTAAAATGCCTACAATTTTTCCAGAATCAATAACGCGAAAAATGACAATTTTTTAAATATTTAAAAAATAGCTTTTTCAAAATATTTAGACACTCTTGGTCCGGAATCATCAATACGGTTCGTTTTTCGAATTAGCAACTCCAAATCTTTACATTCCAGAATTTTTGGCAAATTTTTAGGCAACTTTTGACCATTTCGCAATCACCCGTCGAAAATTACCCAGAGAGATTTTCCTGTGGACTAAGACTTGGGAAAGTTATTTTCGGCTTAATTTTTCGAACATTCCTACAGGTTTTCTCAGAATTGATAAAATAATTTTTGTAAAAATTAAAAAATCCATTTTTAGAGTGAATATTTCGAAAATTTTGGTCTGCGATCATCAATACGTAATGTTTTATGAATTTTCAAGAAATTTTTGAATTTTGGACCGTTCATTTTCGGCTTTATGTCCTGGAAAAAAAATACTATAATTTTTGCAGAATTGATAAAACGGAAAATTACACTTTTTTGAAAAAAAAAATTCAAATCGAATATTTCGAAAGTTTTGGTCTGGAATCACCAACACGTTATGTTTTTCGAATAATTTTTAAACAGTCTAACTTTGATGTTCAACTTTTGCCATATTTAAAGGGGTTGTAGAGGAAAAGTGGAAGATTTAAATTGATTATCACACATATTTATCATTTTAGACATACTTTAAGTTTCTTGTTGTCGAAATAAGTCTTCACTTATTAAGAAAAAAAGGGAAAATGAAGCCCCGCCCACCCGTCCTATCTTAATTGTGATGATTTTTTTAATCGTCGAGAGCCAAGGGGGCGGAGCTTATTTTAGTAGGTACTAGCCCCGCCCACCCGCCCTTTCTTTTCTTGGAAGGTATGTCATTTGCCAAAATCGGTCTTATTTTAGCAAGTACTAGCCCCGCCCACCCACCCTCTCTGCATTTTGGTGACCACTCTTAATACTGTTAGTTAAGGACAACATTATTATTTTATTAGAATCTTCAGCAAATCCGTTAAACCATTGGTGAGAATATAGGTACATTGTTTAACAAAATATTCAGAAAGTATTAAGCTATCATTATAAAATAATAAACACTGAATAAAATGGAATAAGAATGGGTGGGCGGGGCCAATTTTGACTTTGTTTGAAATCTTAAATTCTACCGTTTTTCAACATAGAATTCAATTTTCATTTTACAGTAAATAAAAATAAGTCAGAGAATGATGAAAGAAGGTGGGCGGGGCTAAATTTAACTTGTTTTTACAGTCTTATCTTAGCGCAAAACTAATAAAAAAAATAAAAAACAGAAACAAATAATTTAATTAGTGAATGTTCTCATAAGCTGCGAGATACAAAGAAGAAAAACAGAAAATCAGATATCAATTTTAGAGTTTTTTTGTTTTTGTTTGCAATAGTTGGTTAGAACTAAACAAACCATTCAAAAGTCGATCTAGATTTTTTCAACCTCAATAAAAAAAATCTTGTCGAATTCGGCAACGCCGCACTCTGCTTCTTTGACAGCTATCAGCACATCACTTGACAAATGACATTTCAGCTAACCTCTCATCGCACGTCAACGGAAAAAACAAATCAATCCAATTAAAATATGGGCAATGACCATTCCCACTTAGGCGGAATCGAAATTGAGGAAAAATCCGTCGAAGTGTCCGATTTCTGGTCACATCATTCCGCTACAATCACAAACTCGGAAAACACCACCAACCTTTCAGTACTAGTAGGCGAATTATTTGTAGATGGACCACTATGGAAAACACACACTCCTTTAGAGAAAAACAGCAAGGTTTTAAATGAATTGTTACGTAGACGGCGTTGTTGACTCTCTCTTTGTAGCATTTAATGATCTATCGACACCCGTGTATTTTAAAGTACATTTCATCGTGGAATAAAAACTCCAAGTATTATCTAGCTGTGGAGGAAGCAGTGCCATTAGGACACGTCCTAGCGAAACAAAACACGTTGCAGATATGTATAGGTTTACATTCCGTTTTAAAAGCGTTGTGTTTTTTGCACGAAAAGGCGTTTGTATCACATAATAATATTTGTACAGCTGCCATCTACGTAACGAAGGACGGAAGCTGGAAATTGGGGGGGATGGAGTACGTGTGTAAGTTTGGCGAACTCAGCTCTGACTTTTTGAAAAAGTCCAGTAATAATCGGTACAACAAAGCTGTGGACCCGAATGAAGAAAAACACATACAAGGGAGTTCAAGGAGGGATTTTATTGATATTTTCTCGTACGGGGTTTTAGTTTGTGAGGTACTAAAATCAAAAAGTGACGGTACGTATTTTTGATTCGTCTAGCGTGATTTTTCATTTTTTCGGTTGGTAGATGACATTCCAAGCCTCACTGCCTTTCGAGACTTTTGTAAAAACAGTCTTCAAAATATCGACGTAGCGACAAGGCCAAAACTCAGTACCTTACTCGAGCACGAGTTTTTTAACCACGAATTTATCATAATTCACTCGTTTTTGATAGAGTTACCTTTAAAATCGGACGAAGAGAAAACTCAGTTTTTCCATAGTTTAGTTGAACGCTTGAGAGCTTTCCCTGAAGTTACCGTAGCTAGTCAATTTGGTAATTTATTGCTATCTAGGTTGGTATTACTGAATAAAACCGCGCAAGACGAGCTGCTGCCGTTCATTTTGTGCCCCAAAGAAGGTTAGAAATCACAACAATGTTATTTTTTACTAAAATCGCGGTCAGTAGGTTCTGAAGACAGCGCTAGGAACTTTTTTTCTGAAGACGTGTTCAGAAAATTCCTCACACCTAAGCTTCTGGAAATATTCTGCGTCCGCGATGCCCAAATCCGGCTTCTTTTATTAAACTGTTTCAAGTATTTTGTCCACACGTTCACCAAAGAGGAGCTGCAGTCGTGTATTTTACCAGAGGTGAGGCACCATTTTGTTTTTATAGTTGGTAACACTGAACACTTGTTGGTAGCTTCTAGTGGGGGTGAAAGACACCAATGACTATTTGGTTTCCGTGACTTTGCGCACCCTCGCCGACTTGGTCCCTATTTTAGGCGCCGCCACTGTTATAGGGGGTAAACGGGGTAAGCTTTTCACTGATGGGCGGCCCGTGTGCCACCCCCGCCGCCCCCGCAAGAACTCGAAGAAGCACGAGCCGGCCCCCGCCGACACCAACCCTATAATTCACACCCACCAGCTTATTATGAATCTCCCTGAGCGGCCGCGACCCGATGGGGAGGAGGGGGAGACGTCGGCGGAGGAAGCCGAGCAGAGCGTGGAGGAGGATCTGGACAATTGGGAGGATTGGGGGGAGACGAATCCTGTGGTCCAGGATAACGGGGAGTCGAGTTCGCTGCACACCAACTCCAGCGAGTCGGTGGCGTCGGTGTTCGAGATGGAAGTGACGGCGCAGGTGAGCAACTCCAGGAAGAAGTCGCTCCCGGATATAAGCGAGCTGGATATCAAGAATCAAGCGAGCTCGGAGCAGAACGACGACTTTGACTTCTTCCAGGACATGGAGCCTGTGATTGAGACGTCGTCGAAGTACTTGGTCAAGGAGGATTTGGAGAAGAGCGTCAGCAGCAAGCTGGGGGTGGAGATGACGGAGGAAGGGGGCGAGGACGGGTGGGGGGAGGAGGAGTGGTAGGGTAACGAATGTGATGACTTTTGTAAATAAATACGTAATTTTAATTTGTTGGGGTGGCTTTTATTCAACCAGAAAAAAAAATGTTCTCGGTTGGTTGTAATTTCCGTCCTGAACACTCTGCCTTTAAGCTAACAGGTCATGTGACAAAATCTCGGGGGAGTCAAACTTCAATTCAAGTTGCACTTGACTCAAAGCTTCGCCGCTCTGACTCGAAAGAAAATCCCTGGGAAACTGGAAACTTGAGAGACCTTGTGTGTTGTGGGCACCGAACTAATCTTACTTACTATACGTAGGTAATTCAAGTTTGCACCTCTGTAACCATGGCTCATCGGTTTTTCACCAATTTAAATGTGAGCCAAAGTCTGACACGAAAGGAGGCGTTTCGTCAGTTTACCAGAGAATGTCCACCTGAGAAAAATTGCCACATTTTCTGTGTGGGATTCGAACCCACATCACTCAGGTTGCCGGTCACAGGCTCTACCACTGAGCCACGAGAACAGTACAGGGGCCTTCGCTATTCGGGTTTATAAACGACATGTTGACAGTTTTTGCAATTATTTTTACTTCCCGAGCGTAAGCGACCCCAAGAATACGAAAAAATAGGTCCCCCGTTTCCGTGTGTCTGCCGTCCCGATTTTTATTAGACCGTTAATCTCCAAAAGTACTATTCTCAAATTTTGTACATTTTTTATTAATATACAGTCTTCTTTACCCTACAAGAAACTAAACTATCGTGTTGTTTTACTCCTTTCAGACCGAGGGGCGGAGCATAATTGCTAAATACATATTTCCCTACAAAAACTGTGAACATGTTTTACGTTTGTTGTTATCAAAAGAGACTACACTACGTATATTAAGAGGAAAGGACAAAATATAAGCCCCTCCCACCCACCCTGTCGCAGTTGTAATGATTTTTTTTATTCGTTGTAAGCCCGAGCGACGGATTTTTTTTTTAATTTTACTCTTTTAAGAACATATTTCACTGGGAATTTCTTGTAGAGAAATGAGGATTTTGCAGCTAAACTCCGCCCTTTAGCTCACGATGAATAAAACATTCATCACAATTGAGAAGGGGTGGGTGGGCGGGGCTTATATTTTGTTCATTTTTTCTTAATATACGAAGTCTTCTTTTTCACAAAAAGAAACTAAAAACATATTTAGCTATCGTGTTGTTCGAAAAAAACTATATGTAAGTAAAAAAAGTCCCGATGTCAATTGTGATGAATTTTCTATTCGTTGTTAGACTGAGGGGCGGAGCGTAATTGTAAAATCGATATTTCCCTACATAAATTTACCACTTTAAATATGTTTTAAGTTTCTTGTTGTGAAAAGAATTCTTGTTGTGAAAAGAAGACTACGTATATTAAGAAGAAAGGGCAAAATATAAGCCCCACCCACCCACTCTATCTTAGTTGTAAAGATTTTTTTTTATTCGTTGTCAGACCGAGGGGCGGGGCGTAATTACTAAATACATATTTCCTTACAAAAATTACATGTTTTAGAACATGTTTTAAGTTTCTTGTTATGAAAAGAAGACTACGTATATTAAGAAGAAAGGGTAAAATATAAGCCCCACCCACCCACCCGATCTCAGTTGTAAAGATTTTTTTTTTATTCGTTGTCAGACCGAGGGGCGGGGCGTTATTGCTAAATACATATTTCCTTACAAAAATTTTGAACATGTTTTAAGTTTCTTGTTGTGAAAAGAAGACCACGTATATTAAGAAGACAGGGTAAAATATAAGCCCCCCCAACCCACCCTATCTCTGTTGTAATGATTTTTTTTATTCGTTGTCAAACCGAGCGGCGGAGTTTAATTGCAAAATGCATATTTCTTTACAAAATTTTACTCTTTTAAGAACATATTTCACTGGTAATTTCTTGTAGAGAAATGAGGATTTTGCAACTAAGCTCCGCCCTCCACTCACGATGAATAAAAAAATCATCACAATTGAGAATGGGTGGGTGGGCGGGGCGTATATTTGTCCATTTTTCTTGATATACGAAGTCTTCTTTTCGTAACAAGACTCTAAAAACATATTTAACTATCGCGTTGTTAAAAAAAAACTATACGTAATTAAAAAAAAGTTCCGATCTCAATTGTGATGAATTTTTTATTCGTTGTCAGACCGAGGGGCGGGGCGTAATTGCTAAATACATATTTCCTTTCAAAAATTTTGAACATGTTTTAAGTTTCTTGCTATGAAAAGAAGACTACGTATATTAAGAAGAAAGGGCAAAATATAAGCCCCACCCACCCACCCTATCTTAGTTGTAAAGATTTTTTTTTTCGTTGTCAGACCGAGGGGCGGGGCATAATTACTAAATACATATTTCCTTACAAAAATTTTGAACATGTTTTAGGTTTCTTGTTGTGAAAAGAAGACTACGTACATTAAGAAGAAAGGGCAAAATATAAGCCCCACCCACCCACCCTATCTCAGTTGTAAAGATTTTTTTTTATTCGTTGTCAGACCAAGGGGCGGGGCGTAAATACTAAATACATATTTCCTTACAAAAATTTTGAACATGTTTTAAGTTTCTTGTTATGAAAAGAAGACTACGTATATTAAGAAGAAAGGGTAAAATATAAGCCCCACCCACCCACCCTATCACAGTTGTAAAGATTTTTTTATTCGTTTCAGACCGAGGGGCGGATTTTTTTTTTTAATTTTACTCTTTTAAGAACATATTTCACTGGTAAATTCTTGTCGAGAAATGAGGATTTTGCAACTAAGCTTCGCCCTTCAGCTCACGATGAATAAAACATTCTTCACAATTGAGAATGGGTGGGTGGGCGGGGCTTATATTTTGTCCATTCTATCTTAATATATGAAGTCTTCTTTTTCACAACAAGAAACTAAAAACATATATATTTAGCTATCGTGTTGTTCGAAAAAAACTATATGTAAAGTAAAAAAAAGTCCGGATGTCAATTGTGATGAATTTTCTATTCATTGTCAGACCGAGGGGCGGAGCGTAATTGCAAAATCGATATTTCCCTACATAAATTTACCACTTTAAACATGTTTTAAGTTTCTTGTTGTGAAAAGAAGACTACGTATATTAAGAAGAAAGGGCAAAATATAAGCCCCACCCACCCACCCTATCTCAGTTGTAAAGATTTTTTTTTATTCGTTGTCAGACCGAGGGGCGGAGCATAATTGCTAAATACATATTTCCCTACAAAAACTGTGAACATGTTTTACGTTTCTTGTTGTCAAAAAAACTACACTACGTATATTAAGAAGAAAGGACAAAATATAAGCCCCACCCACCCACCCTGTCTCAGTTGTAATGATTTTTTTTATTCCTTGTCAGACCGAGAGCGGCGGATTTTTTTTTAAATTTTACTCTTTTAAGAATATATTTCACTGGTAATTTCTTGTAGAGAAATGAGGATTTTGCAACTAAGCTCCGCCCTTCAGCTCACGATGAATAAAACATTCATCACAATTGAGAAGGGGTGGGTGGGCGGGGCTTATATTTTGTACATTTTTTGTTAATATACGAAGTTTTCTTTTTCATAACAAGAAACTAAAAACGTATTTAGCTATCGTGTTGTTCGAAAAAAACTATATGTAACTAAAAAAAAGTCCGGATGTCAATTGTGATGAATTTTCTATTCGTTGTCAGACCGAGGGGCGGAGCATAATTGCAAAATTGATATTTCCCTATACAAATTTACCATTTTAAACACGTTTTAAGTTTCTTGTTGTGAAAAGAAGACTACGTACATTAAGAAGAAAGGGCAAAATATAAGCCCCACCCACCCACCCTATCTCAGTTGTAAAGATTTTTTTTATTCGTTGTCAGACCGAGGGGCGGAGCTTAATTGCGAAATACATGTTTCCCTACAAAAACTGTGAACATGTTTTACGTTTCTTGTTGTCAATAGAGACTACACTACGTACATTAAGAAGAAAGGACAAAATATAAGCCTCACCCACCCACCCTATCTCAGTTGTAAAGATTTTTTTTATTCGTTGTCAGACCGAGGGGCCGGGCGTAATTACTAAATACATATTTCCTTACAAAAATTTGAAACATGTTTTAAGTTTCTTGTCATGAAAAGAAGACTACGTATATTAAGAAGAAAAGGCAAAATATAAGCCCCACCCACCCACCCTATCTAAGTTGTAAAGATTTTTTTTATTCGTTGTCACACGGAACGGCGCAGTTTAATTGCACAATTCTTAATTTTTTTTACAAAATGTTACTCTTTTAAGAACATATTTCACTGGTAATTTCTTGTAGAGAAATGAGGATTTTGCAACTAAGCTCCGCCCTCGGCTCACGATGAATAAAAAAATCATTACAATTGAGAGGGGGTGGGTGGGCGGGGCTTATATTTTGTACATTTTTTGTTAATGTACGAAGTCTTCTTTTCCTAACAAGAAACTAAAAACATATTTAACTATCTGTTTAAATATCTGTGTTCAAAGAAAACTATATGTAACTAAAAAAAGTCCCGAAATTCTCAAAAAATTCAGGTTTATAGATCTTGACGTGCTGATTCCAAAAATATAGCGTGTATAGTGTTACATTAGCAAGGTCTAGCCCCGCCCACCCGCCCCCAATTTTCTTAGACGTTGTATCATTTACCAAAATTAGTCTTATTTTAGCTACAAAACAAATAAAAAAAGGCGCTAATCGTAATTTTTACGGTATACCATTTGCTATAAGGTTCATTTTTTATTTCAGAAGAAAAAATTAAATAACGGGTGGGTGGGCGGGGCTAAGTTCGATTTTTCCACTGACTACTCCTAATATTGTTCAGTCATTTATGACCCGCCTTCTATTTCCTTAGAGGATATGTCATTGGCCACAATCAGTCGTATCATAGTAAGTACAAGCCCCGCCCACCCGCCCTGTTTTCATTCTAACGATGTTAGTTTTGTTCAGTCTAAGAGACAGTTTTCATTCAAACCAGATAAAATAATGGAAAATTTCATTTTCGAAAAAGTCGTCTAAAGATTCTCAAAAAATTCAGGGATGTAGATCCCGACTTGCTGATTCCAAAAATGTAGCGTGTTTATGGTAGTGGTAGTTTTTATAAACGACGATATTTCAATGGGCGATTCTGGAAAATTAGTTCGAGTTATCGAAGAAATGACGGAAGTGACTTCTGTGGCCCGAAATCAACAGGAAAATGTATTTAGTTAAATTTCGAAAATCGTCGAAAACGGGTCGAAATTTGAAACATAGTGGAAAATTTCATTTCTGAAAAAATCGTCTACAAATTCTTAAAAAAATCAAGGTTGTAGATCTTGACGTGCTGATTCCAGAAATATAGCTGGTTTAGTCTTATACTAGCAAGTTCTAGCCCCACCCACCCTTTATTTTCTTAGAAAGTATGTCATTTACCAAAATCAGTCTTATCTTAGTAACTACAAGCCCCGCCCACCCGCGCTGTTCTCATTCTAACGATTTTATTTCCGTTCAGTATAAGATACAGTTTTCATTCAAAGATAAAATGAATCACTGAAATGGAGGCGGGGTGGGTGGGCGGGGTTAGGTTAGATCTTGACGTGCTGTACTAGTCCCGCCCACCTGCCCTTAATAAAAAATGCCACAAAATGTAAAACTGAAAAATTAAAGAACCTAATATCGGAAAACTGTCGAAAACTGCCAAAAAATTGAATAAACGATCTAGAAATTGACAAATCGGACTAACTGTAAAATCGAAAAATTGTAAATCAAAATTTTGAAAAACTTAAAATTCAAAACTTAAAAACTCGCAAATCGTAAAACCAAAAAACTGTGTAATTTTAAAAAATTCGAAATTAGGTGGTAAATTACACATTACACGTTTTTTGGCTACGTGAACTCCTAAAACCGACAATGTATGTAATGTTTTCGATATTTAGATATTTGAGCATCTTGTGCTTTGCCTCATCAACTTCTCACTCACGAGCCGCCCCTGGTGTATACTTATTTTATTGATCCATGTTTAAAACATTTCTTTAATAGTTTCCTCTCCCAGAAAAACCGTCCGTTGACCTGAGTCGTCAGTTGACAGTTCCATTTTAACCCAAAACAACGATTTATTGATTAAAATAAGCAAAGACGAAATGTAAAAAAAAAATGTTCTCTTGGTGTTTTGAATTCCGTCCTGAGCACTCTCCCTTTAAGCTAACAGGTAAATTTTCTCAAGCGTAACTCCTGTTTCCAACAAGCGAACTAGTATTCGTCCTCCTTCGCTGGGACCACCAACCTTAAGAACCTTCCAAGCTGAACCCGAGAGACCACCAACCACCCGTGGCGGTCGCCTAAAGCCTACGTCTCTACTACGAAAAGCTCTCGGCGTCCGCCACAGGCTACAGGGGTAGTTTCCTTCAACCCATCACAGGATCAGAGGCAGGCCTGGCCTGCAGCGATAGGACGCCCTTGTCGGATCACTACTCCGCTTGAGAAAACCGTCACTGTGTGGGATTCGAACCCACACCTCTCAGGTTACCGGTCCACAGGCTCGTCCACTGAGCCACGAGAACAGTGCAAACGCACCAGCTATGGATGGCATAACCAACACAACCCAAGTTTTTTATCATTAAAATTTCACAAAAATATTAAATTACCAAAATAAAAAACGCACGTGCCGCCACTGGTAAAATACAACATTTGTAATTATAACACACATATTAAAAACACTAATTTATTTAACTAACCACGTTAATTCTACTGAAACTGCAATATCATCATAACGACAAGTAAAATTATTTAAACAATTTGGCGAAGAAAAATAAAATCCGAATTGACAGTCAAAATTAGCGCCCTCATGTGTCAACAAAAACCAAGATGGAGTAATTTCCGCGCATGCGTCGTCCCTTTGAACCAGGACCGCGGTGGCTGTCAAGTGCCTCGTAGAGTCCATCGTGTACATTTTTTTATTTAATTCGCAAAAATGGTGAGTACAATTAGCAAAATACTCAATCAAACTGACCCTACAAAGAAATTCGCACCCTTTACACACGATTTTTTCCCATAAACTGTGACACCCCAACAGGATGATTGAAGATTATCCAATCCGGTTCCAACGAACATGTTTATTGACAACGTGAACCCCAAATCTCCCTCAGGACCACCTGAAACCGTCTCAACATTCATATTAACCCCCGTATAACCCCTCGGTTGTCTCGAAATCCCCTTTCGCAACGTTGCCACAAGTGAGGTTATGTTATTGTGTTCCAGGGTTTCGTGAAAGTCGTGAAAAACAAGCAATACTTCAAGCGCTTTCAAGTAAAATTCAAGAGGCGTCGTCAAGGCAAGACCGACTACTATGCTCGCAAACGCTTGATCGTTCAAGACAAGAACAAATACAACACTCCGAAGTACCGCCTGATCGTGCGTTTGTCCAACCGCGACATCACTTGCCAGGTGGCTTATTCGCGCATCGAGGGTGACAAGATCGTGTGCGCGGCCTACTCGCACGAGTTGCCTAGGTACGGAGTGAAAGTGGGGCTCACCAACTATGCTGCGGCTTACTGTACTGGGTTGTTGCTGGCCCGCCGTTTATTGAAGCAACTGGGTTTGGATAGTTTGTACCCCGGCACCACCGAGATCACCGGGGACGAGTACAACGTCGAGGGTGTAGAAAACGGTCCTGGAGCCTTCAGGTCAGTCAATTTCCGGTTTGAAATAAAAAAACAAAAATCGTGATGAAGTGTGGACACATGCGCGTCATCTGAGTCGCCAGGTCGTGTCAAAAGGAAGGTTTATCGCATGTTTTATGTGGTAGAGTTGGAACTTTGGCGCGCTTGGCGATTTTGTGATTATAAGGTGTCTCTGATTGTTTTATAGTTTGATTTTTTTGTCTGAGGGGGTGACAAGTTTGACTTTCATTTTTAATTGAAGGTGTTACCTGGATGTTGGTCTGCAACGCACAACCACCGGAGCTCGTGTTTTCGCCGCCATGAAGGGGGCTGTCGATGGTGGCTTGAACATTCCTCATTCCACTAAGCGTTTCCCGGGATATGATGCCGAATCTAAGTCTTTTAACGCTGACGTGCACAGATCGCACATTTTCGGGCAACACGTTGCTGATTATATGCGTGCTTTGGAAGAGGAAGACCCTGAAGCTTTCAAGAGACAGTTCAGTCAATATATTAAGCTGGGAATCACAGCTGATCAGGTATAGTTTGATTTAATACGTTACGTCCAACTAAAATTACGGCAGGTGGTTTAACCTTGACGTGTCGCAGTTGGACTACATCAAGTCATGGTCTTACCGTGGTGCTAACTATTTAGTACCAAAATTGAACCATGAAACATGTAAACACACTAAAAAAAACGAGTATTTTATGGTTGTTTTTGTTGTAGATTGAAGGTATCTACAAGAACGCGCATGCGGGTATTCGCTCCAACCCCGCTATTGAAAAGAAACCAGAAAAGGCTGCCCCAACAACCAAGAAGAGGTGGAACCGCAGGAAGCTCACTTTGGCCGAACGCAAGAACCGCGTGCAACAAAAGAAGCAATCTTTCATTGCAAAGATCCAAGAAGGGCAGGCTGAGCCTTAAATTTTTATTCATGTTATATAAAAACGTGTAAACAATAAAACTTGGATACACATGAGTTTTTTAATGTTTTTAAATGTAGCCGCACTGGTGTTTCGCCAACATGTGAATTTTTAGATGAATCGCCTGTTTTCCTCTGTAGGGGCACCTCTCACAATGAAACCACTGGACGTCTATGTTGTGTTTGTTGGCCATGTGTTGTTTTAACACACCCTGGTACAGAGCTCTGAATGGACACTGCGTGCATTTGAATTTTTTCAGATCTAATTTTTCGCGCTCTGTTCCGTGTTTGTTGATGTGGTGCAACTCCAAGCCTCTTTTATTTTTGGATTTGTAGCAACAGTGCTCACATTGAAACCATTTGAGTTGGTCAGGGGGGCCGTGTTTCACGATTAGGTGTCTTTTCAAGTTGCCTTTTTGTTTACAGATGTATGAACAATCAAGTCTGTCGCACTCAAACCAGATTATGTCGTGTTGGAGGTGTTTTGAATTATTTTTATGGGGGCTGCTGTTACATTTAAGCTCGTTAAGGCAGGGGTCACAGTTGTGCAGCGAAAATATTAGACGTGAATGTGTTTGTCGGTTGCAGTATTGGCACTCATAATTTTTCACAATTATTTTTAAAGCGTCGTTTTGCTTCTGGTTGTGGATTTCTGCAATGTGTTTTCTTAAGACGACTTTTAAAGGAGACCCAAAGTTGCAATGTTTGCATTTGTGCATTTCCGGTGCACTTTCACTGCAATAAAACCGGTTTTTGGGTTTTAACGTCGACATTTCTGGAAACAACTAATTATAGAAATAACGATATTCTAAACACAACAGCAACAGTAACCTGGAAGATGGCTATGGTAGTGGGGGTATTGACTTAAGTCCAAGGTCATGTAAGTCCAACAGCATATCCATATTTCGGGATAGTTTTGAACTGTTTTTAATTTTAAATTACGAATTAATTAAAGCGATAATAATTTCCTTTGACAACTTACACGTGTATTATTAAGTATAGAATGAGTAGCATTTTTACCTAACAGCATAAATTCTATTATACCTACTACATGAATAACAATAAAAAATGCAACACCTACACTATACGTGTACCAAAAATAAATTGGAAAGGAAATTACAGAGATCCTTAGATTATTTTTACCCAAAATTCCACAAAAAGTTTAAATATGGAAAACTGACTTCTAAATACGGAAGTAGAATAATATTATTAATATTACTTCTAAAATAATAAAAAATGGTTGAAAGTTATTTCGATAGAACTTCCCATGCTTCTTAAGTACAGTCAAACAAATACTGCTTCTCTGAAAAATTACAAAATTTGATTTTGCTGAATTTTTTACTTCTTTTTGAAAACTTCTATGGAATAAAAACAATATAGAAGGTGCTAGTCGCAGTGTAATAGAAAAAAAGACGGTTTCACTTCCTTAAAAAAAGATACTTGGAGCCCCCGAAAAGGTTTCACCTTTAAAAAAAAAAACATTGGTGCCCCCGAGAAGGTTAAAAAGACAGTTGGTACCCCGGAGTAGGTTTCACACTGTGGTTCCACATTCTTAAAAAAAGGACAGTTGGGACCCCTGAGAAGGTTTCATGTTCTTAAAAAAGAACATTTGGTGCCCCCGAGAAGATTTCACATTCTTAAAAAAAGATAGTTGGAACCCCTGACTAGGTTTCACATTCTAAAAAGAATATTTGATGCCCCGAGAAGGTTTCACATTCTTAAAACAATACATTTGGGGTCCCCGAGAAGGTTTTACATCTTTAGGAAACAAAATACATTTGGGACCCCTGAGTAGGTTTTACATTTTTAAAAAACACAGTTAGGACCCCCGAGAAGGGTTCACATTCTTAAAAAAAAATACATTTGGCGCCCCCAAGAAGGTTTTACATTTTTAAAAAAGATAGTTGGGACCTCCGAGAAGGTTTCACATTCTTAAAAATACGCATTTGGGGCCCCCGAAAAGGTTTTACATTTTTAAAAAACACAGTTGGGACCCCCGAGAAAGTTTCACATTCTAAAAAAAAACATTTGATGCCCCCGAGAAGGTTTCACATTCTCAAAAAAAAAAAATAAAATTAGGGGCCCCCGAGAAGGTTTCACAATCTTAAAAAAAAATACGTTTGGGGCCTCCGAGAAGGTTTTACATTAAAAAAAAAAGACGTAGACCCCCCAGAAGCTTTTACATTCCTAAAAAAATATATTTGGAGCCCCCGAGAAGGTTTTACATTCTTAAAAAAGTACATTTGGGGCCCCCGAGAAGGTTTTACATTAAAAAAAAAAACACGTAGAGCTCCCGAGAAGGTTTTACATTCCTAAAAAAATATATTTGGGGCCCCCGAGAAGGTTTTACATTTTTAAAAAAGATAGTTGGGACCTCCGAGAAGGTTTCACATTCTTAAAAAAATGCATTTGGGGCCCCCGAGAAGGTTTTACATCTTTAAAAAACACAGTTGGGACTCCCGAGAAGGTTTTACAATATTAAAAAAAATACGTTTGGGGCCTCCGAGAAGGTTTTACATTAAAAAAAAAACACGTCGAGCCCTCGAGAAACTTTCACATTCTTAAAAAAAATACATTTGGGCCCCCCGAGAAGGTTTTACATTTTTAAAAAACACAGTTGGGACTCCCGAGAAGGTTTCACATTCTAAAAAAAAAAACATTTGACGCCCCCGAGAAGGTTTTACATTCTTAAAAACAAAAAAATTTGGGGCCCTCGAAAGGTTTTACATTTTAAAAACGATAGTTGGGACCCCCGAGAAGGTTTCACAATCTTAAAAAAAATACGTTTGTGGCCTCCGAGAAGGTTTCACATTAAAAAAAAACCACGTAGAGCTTCCGAGAAGGTTTTAGATTCCTAAAAAAATATATTTGGGGACCCCGAGAAGGTTTCACAATCTTAAAAAAAATACGTTTGTGGCCTCCGAGAAGGTTTCACATTAAAAAAAAACACGTAGAGCTTCCGAGAAGGTTTTACATTCTTAAAAAAATACATTTGGGGCCCCCGAGAAGGTTTTACATGAAAAAAAAACACGTAGTGCTCCCGAGAAGGTTTTACATTCCTAAAAAAATATATTTGGGGCCCCCGAGAAGGTTTCACATTCTCAAAAAAAAAAAAAAAATTAGGGGCCCCGAGAAGGTTTCACAATCTTAAAAAAAATACGTTTGGGGCCTCCGAGAAGGTTTTACATTCTTAAAGACAAAAAAATTTGGGGCCCCCGAAAGGTTTCACAATCTTAAAAAAAATACGTTTGTGGCCTCCGAGAAGGTTTCACATTAAAAATAAAACACGTAGCGCTCCCCAGAAGGTTTTACATTCCTAAAAAAATATATTTGGGGCCCCCGAGAAGGTTTTACATTAAAAAAAAACACGTAGTGCTCCCGAGAAGGTTTTAGATTCCTAAAAAAATATATTTGGGGACCCCGAGAAGGTTTCACAATCTTAAAAAAAACACGTTTGTGGCCTCCGAGAAGGTTTCACATTAAAAAAAAACACGTAGAGCTTCCGAGAAGGTTTTACATTCTTAAAAAAATACATTTGGGGCCCCCGAGAAGGTTTTACATGAAAAAAAAACACGTAGTGCTCCCGAGAAGGTTTTACATTCCTAAAAAAATATATTTGGGGCCCCCGAGAAGGTTTCACATTCTCAAAAAAAAAAAAAAAAATTAGGGGCCCCCGAGAAGGTTTCACAATCTTAAAAAAAATACGTTTGGGGCCTCCGAGAAGGTTTTACATTAAAAAAAAGAACACGTAGACCCCCAGAAGCTTTTACATTCCTAAAAAAATATATTTGGGGCCCCCGAGAAGGTTTTACATTTTTAAAAAAGATAGTTGGGACCTCCGAGAAGGTTTCACATTCTTAAAAAAATGCATTTGGGGCCCCCGAGAAGGTTTTACATCTTTAAAAAACACAGTTGGGACTCCCGAGAAGGTTTTACAATATTAAAAAAAATACGTTTGGGGCCTCCGAGAAGGTTTTACATTAAAAAAAAAAAACATGTCGAGCCCTCGAGAAGCTTTCACATTCTTAAAAGAAATACATTTAGGCCCCCCGAGAAGGTTTTACATTTTTAAAAAACACAGTTGGGACTCCCGAGAAGGTTTCACATTCTAAAAAAAAAAACATTTGACGCCCTCGAGAAGGTTTTACATTCTTAAAAACAAAAAAATTTGGGGCCCCCGAGAAGGTTTCACAATCTTAAAAAAAATACGTTTGTGGCCTCCGAGAAGGTTTCACATTAAAAAAAAAAAACACGTAGAGCTCCCCAGAAGGTTTTACATTCCTAAAAAAATATATTTGGGGCCCCCGAGAAGGTTTCATAATCTTAAAAAAAAATACGTTTGTGGCCTCCGAGAAGGTTTCACATTAAAAAAAAAACACGTAGAGCTCCCCAGAAGGTTTTACATTCCTAAAAAAATATATTTGGGGCCCCCGAGAAGGTTTTACATGAAAAAAAAAAACACGTAGTGCTCCCGAGAAGGTTTTACATTCCTAAAAAAATATATTTGGGGCCCCCGAGAAGGTTTTACATTTTTAAAAAGATAGTTCGGACCCCGAGAAGGTTTCACAATCTTAAAAAAAATACGTTTGTGGCCTCCGAGAAGGTTTCACATTAAAAAAAAAAACACGTAGAGCTTCCGAGAAGGTTTTACATTCTTAAAAAAATACATTTGGGGCCCCCGAGAAGGTTTTACATGAAAAAAAACACGTAGTGCTCTCGAGAAGCTTTTACATTCCTAAAAAAATATATTTGGGGCCCCCGAGAAGGTTTTACATTTTTAAAAAGATAGTTGGGACCTCCGAGAAGGTTTCACATTCTTAAAAAAATGCATTTGGGGCCCCCGAGAAGGTTTTACATCTTTAAAAAACACAGTTGGGACTCCCGAGAAGGTCTTACAATATTAAAAAAAATACGTTTGGGGCCTCCGAGAAGGTTTTACATTAAGAAAAAACACGTCGAGCCCTCGAGAAGGTTTCACATTAAAAAAAAAATACATTTGGGCCCCCCGAGAAGGTTTTACATTTTTAAAAAACACACTTGGGACTCCAGAGAAGGTTTTACATTCTAAAAAAAAACATTTGACGCCCCCGAGGAGGTTTTACATTCTTAAAAAAAAAAATTTGGGGCCCCCGAGAGGGTTTTACATTTTTAAAAAAATATATTTGGGGCCCCCGAGAAGGTTTAAATTAAAAAAAAAATACATTTGGGCCCCCCGAGAAGGTTTCATATTCTTACAAAAATATATCTGAGGCCCTTGAGAAGGTTGTTTAAAAAAATAGTTGATTTTGGCAGGTACTAGCCCCGCCCATCTGCCCTCTGTTTTCTTGTTAGAGAGATCTCATTTTCCAAAATCAGTCTTATCCTAGCAGGTACGAGCCCCACCCACCCTCTCTTGTCTTGGAAGGTATCTCATTAGCCAAAATCAGTCTTATCCTAGCAAGTACTGATCAGTAACTGTTACAAAAAATTATCAAAATTTGGAACTCTTTTGAGCTTTCAGTGTTTTATTTTTTATGAATTTGAAATGTCTCGAGTGCGCCAGTGATTTTTTTTTTAATCGGGATACTCTTGGGTACCCATGGTGAATTATTTTAGGAGCCCATGGAGATTTTTTTGTTTTCTGTTCTTGGAAAATTCTGACCTGACCTGTTTTTAAGATAATTTTGGAAACCCATTTTTTTTTCGAAAATTTAAAACTATGTTGAGGTTCTAGGTACTCCTGTTTGGAAAGATTTTGAAAGTGCTTTGGAGCCTCTAGTGTCTTTTCTTAACAGGTACTAACCCCACCCACCCACCCTCTCTTTTCTTCAAGGATATGTCATCTGCCAAAATCAGTCTTTTCTTAGCAGGTACTAGCCCCGCCCACCCACCCTCTCTTTTCTCAGAGGGTATGTAATTGCCAAAATCAGTTTTATCTCAGCAAGTACTGATGATTAACTTTTACAAAAAATGATCAAAATTTGGAACTCTTTTGAGGTTTCAGTGTTTTATTTTTTATGAATTTGAAAAAGTCTTGAGTGCCGCAGTGTTTTTTTTAATCGGGAGATTCTTGGCAACCCATGGTGTATTATTTTGGGAGCCCATGGAGATTTTTTATTTTCTGTTTTTGGAAAATTCTGACCTGACCTGTTTTTGAGTTAATTTTGGAAACCCACTTTTGTTTTCGAAAATTTAAAACTATTTTGAGGTTCTAGGTATTCCTGTTTGGAAAGAATTTGAAAGTGCTTTGGAGCCTCTAGTGTCATTTCTTATAATAATTTAATTCCACTTTCTAGAGTATACGTCATTTGCCAAAATCAGTCTTTTCTTAGCAGGTACTGGAACCACCCACCCACCCTCTCTTTTCTTAGAGGGTATGTCATTTGCCAAAATCCGTCTTATCTTATCTAGTAGCTGCTAAAATAAAACTGATTTTGGCAAAGGACATACCCGCTAAGAAAATAGAGGGTGGGTGGGCGGGGCTAGTGATTTTAGCAAATTTTACTTTTATAAAATTAATTTTTCCGACGATCGTTTATTAATATGAAAATTACGAACAAATTTGGTGTTCAAAATTGGTCAATAATGAGTGTCATTATTCAACGATTAAACTAAAGTCGACAGAAATGTCATTGTATTGTTGGTTGCATACCAACAATAAAGTTTGTTATTTCAATTTCAAAGTTTTTTTTTTAAATTAACGCAATGTTTAAAAGTTGAATCAACAGGGTGTTTTTTAATCAAAAATGTATTGTGAAACAAATTTAATTAAAATAAACTCGACAAAAATGTCAAAGTATTGTTGGTTGCATAACACATGTTAAAAATATGATTCAAATTGCTGTTTTCGAAAATTACGATCGTCGAAAAAATATTGTAATTTGTAATCAACACAAATTACAAAATTTGATTTTACGATTTTCGTTTTGTGATAACCGCTGTAAAGTAAAAATCAGAGGTACAAATAACCCTTGTCCTTGAGCACTAGGGGCACTTTTTTCGTACTGTAGGGGTCGAGAAAACATAAAAGTGGCCATTCGTCCGACTGACTCGATGACAACAGCGTTGTTGAGTAAAACTAAACACGATAATTTTTTCTATACAGTCGCAGTAGAATAAATAATAAAGTGAGTCAGCAAACAATGTATAAAATAAACACCCATGTTGTATAACTACAATAGAAATTGTTCATTGTCTTCACACATTTAAATTATAAATCTAAATTCACGTTCACCTATTCACATTGACAGTGTTTTTTGCAGTTCAACTACCCAACTTCTACCATGTCAATTTTGCCAGATTTTCCTCCAGGACCTCTGGATTTTTACCGCACGAAATCCTCGTTCGACTGGAAGAAAATGAAGATTTTTCTGGACACCGAAGACGGAGTCCAATTTGAAGTAACCCTTCCACGAGTAAAAAAAAATCGTCACGTTATATTTTGCAGAAAGAGATTAGCAAGAAGCTGCAAACCCATCCCGAGTTTCAAAAAGATCTCACCTGTGAGGAAATGGACGAGCAAAGACGCATAAGCTTCCGACGACACCTCTACAACATTAGAAGCGGCATCTTGTCCGAAAACCAATTTTTTGAAAATTTTGCTCGCGCGAATGTATCTAGTCGTTTGATGCTTCAGCTGTGTCCCTGTGCAGCCTTTAGATTCGCTACAGGCAGTTTATTCACTGGGGTTCTGCGAAGCCAGGGTGGGGAGCAACACCAGGAAATTCTACAACAAGCGGAAAACGGAGACGTAAATTTGTGCTTCCTTTTACACAAATCGTGACGTTGCAGTTGTAGATTATTGGAAGTTTCTGCATGACGGAGGTTGGACATGGAAGTGATATTAAAGGGTTTAGAACTACGGCGACGTACGACAAAAACACGGACGAGTTTGTTCTTCACACTCCTGATTTTGAAGCCGCTAAGTGTTGGATTGGTTGTATGGGGCAGAGTGCTTCGTACGCTATAGTCTACGCACAGCTGTACGTAGACGGGACCCATCATGGTCTGCACATGTTCCTCGTACCAATTAGAAACCCAAAAACCTTGCTAACTTATCCGGGAGTTGTAGCAACCGACATGGGGGAAAAAATTGGGGTTAATGGAATGGACAACGGGATTCTAATTCTGGATAAGTATCGAATCCCTCGTGGGAATCTTTTGAATAAAAGCGCTCACGTAACGCCAGACGGGAAATACGTGACCGCACACAAAACCCGTAAAGAAAAAAATGGGGCTGCCTTAGGGATTCTTTCCCTAGGGCGTTCCAAAACCACTCTAGCTTGTGAAACTACAGCAGGAAAAGCACTCACAATCGCTGTCAGATATGCAGCGGTACGAAAACAGTTTGGTTGTGGAAAAGAAGAACAACCAATTTTGGAATATCAGGCGCATGTACGTCTTTCAGGTACCGTTAGTTATATTTTCTGGTTTTGGTTTGTAGCAATACCGACTACTTCCATATTTGGCTACCGCTTACACAACGCGGATTTTTGGCATGTTTTTGTTGGAAACGACGTACAAATTCATCTGGGATGTGTTCATGGGCGGGGATAAAGAATATCTAAACGCTCTAGGTAAAGAAATACATGTGATTTCTTCAGCTTCTAAACCAGCAGTTGGGTGGGTGTTAAGAGACGCGATTCAAGAGTGTAGGGAGGCTTGTGGGGGCCATGGATATCTTAAAGGTGACGACGGTATTTGCGCATTTATTTAAAACAAGAGATGGTATTGTAGCTGCTGGAATTGGTAACATTAGGAATGATAACGATTGCAATATGACGTTTGAAGGGGAAAATCATGTCATAATTCAACAGACTAGTAACTGGTTGATTAAATTATGGCCAGAAGTTGAACAAGGTACGGAAATTTCAACACCACTACACTCAGTAGATTTCTTATCTAAAGCGTCTGAAATTCTGAAAAGTCGCTTCAAAGCAACCACAATAGACGAAGTTTGTACTTCTGACAGTAAGTTAATACTTTATATTATAAATAACAAAAATTTAAAACTACAACTTTCTATTATTACTTCCCGAGCGTAAGCAAAGGAAGTATTGTAATCGAGTCCGTCGGCCGACTCTCTACTTTTACGTTTTCTCGATCTTTCATGACCCCTAGAAGACGAAGAAATAGGTCTCCCATTTCCGTCTGTCTGTCCGTCTGTCCGTCCGTCTGTCCTTCCGTCTGTCCGTCTGTCCGTCTGCCGTCCCGGATTTTTATTAGACAGATAATCTCCGAAAGTACTCGACCGATTGTTGTGAAATTTTGTACTTATATTAAGAATATCATGTAGATGGTAAAACGCTAACCAAAATTTGTCTAATCATCCCCACCACTAATGCGATGACGTCACTTCAAAATTGTACATAGTAAATGGGTTTTCAATTGTATAAAATAACATAGTCCTACACATGTAGTTTACAACTCTGAATCGACTTTTTACCCGAAACGTCCAGATTTTTGGAAAAAAAATCAAAATTATAAAACAACATTTTGAAATTTAATTTTTAATCTGCTAACCAGAATGCCTTGAAATGTTGCAGATGTTTTAAGGCTATAAAGAGCATCATAAATCTTTAGTCAAAAAATATTTGCTTATCCCCTCCAAAAACTTGATGACGTCAGCTCAAAAGTTTGTGGAATAAATCATATCTAAAATGTACAAAATATGATGAGTCTATACTTGTGATCTATCACTCCATTCATATTTTTTGGATTTGCATATACAGGGTGACTCAAAAAAATTAATGAATGCGTAAATATATTTTATTGATTTAATCAGGAACTACAAAACCGAATGCTCTGAAATCTTGCAGATATTTTAAGGTCATAAAGAGCATAATAAATGTTTAGTCAAAATATATTTGCTTATCCCCTCCAAAAACTTGATGACGTCAGCTCGAAAGTTTGCCGAATAAATCATATCTAAAATGTACAAAATATGATGAGCCTGTACTTGTCATTTATCACTCCATTCATATTTTTTGGATTTGCATATACAGAGTGACTCAAAAAAATTAATGAATGCGTAAATATATTTTATTGATTTAATCAGGAACTACAAAACGAAATGCTCTGACATCTTGCAGATGTTTTAAGGTTATAAAGAGCATAATAAATGTTTAGTCAAAATATATTTGCTTATCCCCTCCAAAAACTTGATGACGTCAGCTCGAAAATTTGCCGAATAAATCATATCTAAAATGTACAAAATATGATCAGTCTGTACTTGTGATCTATCACTCCATTCATATTTTTTGGATTTGCATATACAGGGTGATTCAAGAAAATAAATGAAAGCGTAAATTTATTTTACTGATTTACTCAGGAACTACAAAACCGAATGCTTCGAAATCTTGAAAATATTTTAAAATTATCATAAGCATGGTAAATTTTTGATCAAAACGTATTTGGTCGTACCCCCTAAAAAAATTATGACGTCACCACAAAATTTTGCTGAATAAATCCTATCTAAAATGTACAAAATATGGTGAGTCTCTTCTTGTGATTTATCATTCCATTCAAATTTTTTCGATTTGCATATACAGGGTGACTCAAAAAAATTAATGAATGCGTAAATTTATTTTATTGATTTAATCAGGAACTACAAAACCGAATGCTTTGAAATCTTGCAGATGTTTTAAGGTTATAAAGAGCATAATAAATTTTTAGTCAAAATATATTTGGTTATCTTCTACAAAAAACTGATGACGTCAGCTCAAAAGTTTGCCGAATAAATCGTATCTAAAATGTACAAAATATGATGAGTCTGTACTTGTGATTTATCATTCCATTCATATTTTTGGATTTGCATATGCAGGGTGACTCAAAAAAATTAATGAAGGCGTGAATTTATTTTATTTTATCGATTTAATCAGGAATTACGAAACCGAATGTTTTGAAATCTTGGGAATATTTTAAAGTTATTATAAGCATGGTAAACTTTTGTTCAAAATGTATTTGTTCATCCCTCCTAAAAAAATTGATGACGTCACCCTTAAATTTTGCTGAATAAATCCTATCTAAAATGCAAAAAATATAATGAGTTTGTACTTGTGATTTATCATTCCATTCATATTTTTTGGATTTTCTTAAGAGGTGGTTCAAAAAAATTAATGAAGTCAATTTATTTTATTGATTAAATTAAAGGCAACACTTATTATTAGTATTACACCCCAACCAACCCAATTTGGTAGACACAAAATTTGTTAAAGGAAAAACTCGGTTGAAACATAAGGGTAGCACGCTTATTTACATCGACTTTAACATTACAGACCTGCATTTGTTTTATGCGCTCACTTGGTTCCGCGAATGTGAAATAGACATGTTTATAATCAACCAATTGTGGTCGTTTTGTTTACAGTTTCTCTGTTTGACTCTCACGTATGCTGTTACGCCTGTCATCTTAAATTAAGAATGTTTATACATACACGATTTTCAGTTGCCTCTGATACGTAGGTATACGTGAGTAAATTGTTTCGTTATTTTATTGATTATTACAAATCAATATTTAAAACGACCCAATTCATTTTCCCGAAAATTTGACAATATAATAATTTTATTCTTAGTATTACACTACATCTATCCCAACTGATATACGTGTCCTTGCAAAAATGTTGATGACGTCATCGCAATTTTTTTTTAAATTCCCACTACAAAAATGTAATGAGAAAAAAAAACACAATAGGCATGCAGTCGTCAAGTTTCCGACAGCGAGGGAAGTACTGTCTAAACTCTTTAGACCAATTTTTAGATATAATGGCAGCTTATCAGTGGCTGGTTTGTTACTTATTAAAAGAAACCGCACTTAAATATCACACTCTGATACAGAAAGAGGGTGAATTTTGGGCCAGAAACAACACTCAAGTTTACTACGCTAAGAGTCTCAGTATTGCTTTTGTACAAGTAGGGACACCAACAAAACCCATTACAATGACACTATTCGTAAAATTTTAGAATTTTATGCTTCAACGAACCTTGGTAACAATTAACCAAGCCCCTGATGTCTATACCAAAGCTGTTCTCCTAAAACTGTTTTCTTTGTATGGTCTTTGGAGTCTTGAGAAATTTCTAGCAACTTTGTATGAAGGCGGCTACGCTCATGGTTGCCAACCGTCCCGACTAATCCACGAAGCCATTTTAAAACTGTGTAGCGACATCAAAAACGACTCAGTGTCTTTAGTGGATGCTATAGCACCTCCCGATTTTGCTCTAAATTCGGTCTTAGGGGCTTCCGATGGACAGGTAAAAGCCGCTTTAATTCCACAACCCGGTGATTTTTTTTTTAGGTGTACAAACGTCTAGAGCGTGAATTGTTCCGAAATCCCTACAATTTGAGCAGACCCACCTGGTGGCGGGAGATGATAAACTGGAACACTGATCACTCGAAAAATAAGCTGTAATGTTTGAAAGGTTAAATAAAACATTTGACTCTAGTAACAAAAACATTTATTCATCAATAAACACAATGACCAATAAGGTCATTTTCTTCTACTAAAAACGGGTGAAAGACATTAAAAATCGACAAAGAGGATCTAAATTTGAAATTTTCGCTATCGACGTTTATGATTTGTCTACACCCTGAGTCACTGATGTCGTTAAAACTAACCAATTCTAAAGCTACAGTTTCTTGATTTATTTCTTCACCAGATTGTTTAGTTAGAGTGTGTAGGGTACCATTGCTAAAAACCGACTCTTCTTGGCAACCACCGTTAGGATTCGAACTCTCTGGTAGCTGAATTTTGTTGGAAATGAAGAATTTACAGTTTTGCATTTCCAGTTGAAACACCGTCCTTTCTAAAATTAGTTGATTATATTATTAATAGAGGGAGAAAGCAGTGCTACATTAATTTCCGCACGCGTGCCGACCAATCACAACAAAACACATCAAACTGGCGCCAAATTCAAATATTGTTCATCGTGTGTATTCAAGTGTTCGTTTCCAATATCGTAGATCAAGGGATTTTTCAATTATTCCATTTTTTGCTTTGTTAGTTCTCCGATTTTACAATTTTTTGAGTTTTAAACTTTTAGTTTTTTAGTTTTCAGCAAAAGAACAAATTTATCCAAACTAAAATATTGGAAAATCTGAAAATTGTGTCATTGAAACAATGAAGAATACACCGAAAAATTGAAAAATTGGAAAAACGAAAAAATAAAAGAAAAACGCAACAATTCTGCAATTTTTCGATATATTTTTCAAATTCTCGATTTTTCATTTTTTAATTGTTCAACAAAAGGACAAATTTATTCAAACCGAAATTTTGAAACATTTAAAAATCAGAAAATTGTAATATTGAAACGTCTAAAAATTATAAAATTAAAAAATCAAAAAATTTAAAAGTTGAGAAGTCGAAGAATTGAAAAAATAAAGAAAAATTGAAAAATTCTGCAATTTTTCGATCTAAAATTTTTCAAATTCTCGATTTTTAATTTTTCATTTTCTCGACTTTTCATTTTTTAATTGTTCAACAAAAGACAAATTTATTCAAACCGAAATTTTGAATTATTATAAATCGAAATATTGTAATAGTGAAACTTAAAAACCCTGATTAATTAAAAATCGAGGAAGTGAAAAATTGAAAAAACGGAAAACAAAAACTTCTATAAATTAAACAATCAACAATACAAAAAAAATCAAAATTCAAACATTTTTAAATGAAAACCGGAAAACTAAAAAATTAAGAAATTGTAAAAAAACAAACATGGAAAAATTGAAAAATCAAAGAATTGAAAAAATATAGAAACTAAAAATTCGGAAAATGGAAAAGCCAAAAATTGAATAATAAAAACCCTAATAATTATATGAAAAAACTGAAAAATTAAAAATCGGCAAATTTAAAAATTAAACAATTACAAAATTGTAAATTTGAAAAAAAAATGGAAAAATTGAAGAAATGAAAAATTGAAAATCAAAAATTGAACAACCAAACTTGAAATTTCGAAAAATTGAAAAAATTGGCAAACTGAAAATTGGGTAGCGAAAAAAACTATTAAAAAATGCACAACTGAGAAAAATATAGAAACTGTAAAATCGAAAAATTGTAATATTGAAACCTGAAAACCCTGATTATTAAAAATCGAGAAAGTGAAAAATTGAAAAAACGAAAAACAAAAACTTCTATAAATTAAACAATCAACAATACAAAAAAAATTCAAAATTCAAAAATTTTAAAATGAAATGCGGAAAACTAAAAAATTAAGAAATTGTAAAAAAGAAATATGGAAAAATTGAAAAATCGAAGAATTGAAAAAATACAGAAACTAAAAAATCGGAAAATGGAAAGGCCAAAAATTGAATAATAAAAACCCTAATAATTATATGAAAAAAGCGAATAACTAAAAATCGGCAAATTTAAAAATGACACAATTACAAAATTGTAACTTTGAAAAAAAAAATGGAAAAATTGAAGAAACGAAAAACAAAAACTTCTATAAATTAAACAAGCAACAATACAAAAAAAAATTCAAAATTCAAAAATTTTAAAATGAAAACCGGAAAACTAAAAAATTAAGAAATTGTAAAAAAGAAACATGGAAAAATTGAAAAACTGAAAAATCGGAAAATGGAAAAGCCAAAAATTGAATAATAAAAACCCTAATAATTATATGAAAAAAACGAAAAATTAAAAATCGGCAAATTTAAAAATGAAACAATTACAAAATTGTAAATTTGAAAAAAAAATAAAAATGGAAAACTTGAAATGAAAAATTGAAAATCAAAAATTGAAAAACAAACTTGAAATATCGAAAAATTGAAAAAATTGGCAAACTGAAAATTGGGTGGCGAAAAAACAATTAAAAAATGGAACAACTGAGAAAAATATAGAAACTGTAAAATCGCAGTATTGTAATATTGAAACCTGAAAACCCTGATTAATTAAAAATCGAGAAAGTGAATAATTGAAAAAACTTCATAATTCAAAAATTTTAAAATGAAAACCGGAAAACTGAAAAATTAAGAAATTGTAAAAAAGAAACATGGAAAAATTGAGAAATCGAAGAATTGAAAAAATACAGAAACTAAAAAATCGGAAAATGGAAAAGCCAAAAATTGAATAATAAAAACCCTAATAATTATATGAAAAAAGTGAAAAATTAAAAATCGGCACATTTAAAAATGAAACAATTACAAAATTGTAAATTTGAAAAAAAAATGGAAAAATTGAAGAAATGATAAATTGAAAATCAAAAATCGAAAAACCAAACTTGAAATATCGAAAAATTGAAAAAATTGGCAAACTGAAAATTGGGTAGCGAAAAAACAATTAAAAAATGGAACAACTGAGAAAAATATAGAAACTGTAAAATCGAAAAATTGTAATATTGAAACCTGAAAACCCTGATTAATTAAAAATCGAGAAAGTGAATAATTGAAAAAACGAAAAACAAAAACTTCTATAAATTAAACAAAAATCCAGAAAAAAATTCAAAATTCAAAACATGGAAAAATTGAAAAACTGTAACATCGAAAAGACGAAACACTGAAAAACCGAAAAATCCGAGAAATCAAAGATACTGAAAAATCGGGTAATTGAAAAGCCAGGAATTGTACAATTGAAAAAAAATCCTAATAATAATTATTTGAAAAAAGTGAAAAACTAAAAACCGGGAAATTTAAAAATGAAACAATTACAAAATTGTAAATTTGAAAAAAAAAAAAATGAAAACGTAAAATCGAAAATTTGTAACAGTGAAACCTGAAAAAGTGATAATTAAAAATTGAGAAATTGAAAAATCGAAAAAACGAAAAATTCTACAAAGATGGAAAATCTAAAAATTAAAAGGCAACTTGGAAAATCGCAAGATTAAAATATCTGCAAATTAAAAAATCGAAACATTCACAATAAAAAAAACAAAAATTTAAAAATCTCGAATTGAGAAAATAAAAAATCGAAGAAACAACCTGGAATTACATACTTGGAAGTACTTTATTTTTAATTTTTCATTTTTTAATTTTTCAACAAAAGGACAAACTTATTAAAAGTAAAATTTAAAAAAATCAAAAAATCGAAAAATTGTAAAACTCAAAATTCGAAAAATCAAAAAATTAAAAACTTAAAAATTCAAAAAGAACCACTGAAAAACCGAACAATTTAAAAAATGGAAAATTGAAAAAACAGAATGCAAAATCGAAAAACTGATTAAAAATCGAGAAATAGAAAAATACGGAAAACAAAATTTTCAGGAAATCGAAAAATCGACAAATTGTAAAATTCAAAAGTTGAAGAATGTCAAAATAAACATCGAAAAACTGTAAATCGAAAAAATGAGAAACTGTCAAATCTAAAAATTCCTAAAATCGAAAAGCTAAGATTCTTAAAAACTTCAAAGATCTTAAAAAAAAAAAATGCTCAAAATTGGTAATTGAAAAATTGGAAAAACGAAAAAATAAAAGAAAAACGCAACAATTCTGCAATTTTTCGATATATTTTTCAAATTCTCGATTTTTCATTTTTTAATTGTTCAACAAAAGGACAAATTTATTCAAACCGCAATTTTGAAAAATTTAAAAATCAGAAAATTGTAACATTGAAACGTCTAAAAATAATAAGATTGAAAAATCAAAAAATTTAAAAGTTGAGAAGTCGAAGACTTGAAAAAATAAAGAAAAATTGAAAAAACCGAAAACATGAGAATCAAAAATTGAAAATCGAAAAATGAAAAAATGAGAAATTGAACAAGTGGATAATCGAAAAACAATTGAAAAATCGAAAAATTGCAGTATGGAAACCTGAAAACCCTGATTAATTAAAAATCGAGAAATGGAAAAATCGACAGAACGAAGCAATTCTGCAATTTTTCGATATAAAATTTTTCAAATTCTCGATTTTTAATTTTTCATTTTCTCGACTTTTCATTTTTTGATTGTTCAACAAAAGACAAATTCATTCAAACCGAAATTTTCAATTGAATTGAAAAATCAAAAAATTGAAAAATCGAAAAATTGAAAATCGAAATATTGTAATAGTGAAACCTGAAAACCCTGAATAACTAAAAATCGAGGAAGTGGAAAATTGAAAAAACGAAAAACAAAAACTTCTAATTAAACAATCAAAAATAAAAAAAAACAAAATTCTAAAATTTTAAAATGAAAACCGGAAAACTAAAAAATTAAGAAATTGTAAGAAAGAAACATGGAAAAATTGAAAAATTGTAACATCTAAAAGACGAAACGCTGAAAAACCGAAAAATTTAGAAGTTAAGAAATCGAAGAATTGGAAAAATAGAGAAACTGAAAAATCCGAAAAAGGAAAAGCCAAAAATTGAATAATAAATTTGAAAAAAAAGTAAATAAATAAAAAATGGAAAAATTGAAAATCAAAAATGGAAAATCCAAACTTGAAATATCGAAAAATTTTAAAAATTGGCAAACTGAAAATTGGATAACAAAAAAACAATTAAAGAATGGAACAACTGAGAAAAAGATAGAAATTGTAAAATCGTAAAATTGTAATATTGGAACCTGAAAACCCTGATTAATTAAAAATCGAGAAAGTAAAAAATTGAAAAAACGAAAAACAAAAACTTCTATAAATTAAACAATCAACAATACAAAAAATATTCAAAATTCAAAAATTTTAAAATGAAAATCGGAAAACTAAAAAATTAACAAATTGTAAAAAAGAAACATGGAAAAATTGAAAAATCGAAGAATTGAAAAAATACAGAAACTAAAAAATCAGAAAATGAAAAAGCCAAAAATTGAATAATAAAAACCCTAATAATCATATGAAAAAAACGAAAAATTAAAAATTGGCAAATTCAAAAATGACACAATTACAAAATTGGAACTT